GACACTTAACATTTCCACATTCAGAAACTACTCTCACCTACAGTAACCATATACTTTGCACACGAACCACCGCCCGCTTTGAGCAAGAAGTCATGAATGTATTTACGTGAAATGCCTGGGTTCGCCGGGGATCTCTTGGTGAACGGGGCAGCCTTGGAAAGGGGTTTGGGCCCTTTCGCGGCACGCTTCTAAGGCTCTGATTGTCCAAAATGGTTCCAACAACTCTTCTCCTGTTGACCTTCTTCGTAGTTGTCCGGTATCCGGTGACTTGTCATGTAGTCCTGAACAAAACGACAGAGTTGCTTTTCCTTCCATTCGCTCTTGAAGATGCTTCTTTGAAGATAGGTTAGCCAGCCGTATCGATGGTTCCCCAGGGGTGATGAGAGTAGCATAATACGATGATTTGAGCAGAGTAACAGGATGTTCCTACTTAAATTCGCTTTAGAATATACTTTACTTAGGACAGCTAATCAGCCATACCAGTGATTGTCCAGGATGTGAGTTTATCGTCTTCACCTCGTGTTGAGATTCAAAGTTCAAACCATTTTAAAACGTTCAGCTTCACGCTTTTCTGGTCTGCTGTGTTAATTCGTAACCCATCATTTATACCTTTTGCTCGAAAGGGGCGGTTGCGGCAGGCTGACATGCTCCCTGACCTCACTTCGGGGCGGTGATTACTCACTGTGCAAAGCTCATGGTTAATAATGATCTCTTATAACCTCTCAAATCACATCCCTCTCTTAACAAAATCACTCATCATTTTTCATATTACATGCACAACCCCATAGGATGGAAACTTCATCTATGTAGTGGGTATACTTTCCAAGTTACAGTATTTCCTTTATAACATTTTTAATGGCATCACGGAGTGGAGCAGCTGACCGGTGCCGGACTAGGCACCGTTGGAACGGGCACGTGCCGGACTGGCGACGCGCACCACTGGCTTGGTGCGAGGAGCAGGAACAGGCCGTGCCGGACTAGCGACGCGCACCACTGGCTTGGTGCGAGGAGCAGGAACAGGCCATGCCGGACTGGCAACGCGCACCACTGTCTTGGTGCGAGGAGCAGGAACAGGCCGGGCCAGACTGGAAACACGCACCACTGGCTTAGTGCGGGGATCAGGAACAGGCCGGGCCAGACTGGGAACACGCACCACTGGCTTGGTGCGGAGAGCAGGTACGGGGCGTATCGGACTGGGAACACGCACCACTGGCTTGGTGCGGAGAGCAGGTACGGGGCGTACCGGACTGGGAACACGCACCACTGGCTTGGTGCGGAGAGCAGGTACGGGGTGTACCGGACTGGGAACCGGCGCTGGAGGTCTATGACTGTCTCCGTCCTTTACAATCCGCGCCCCGTCCTCCTTCAGTGAGGACTCCTCCTTGAGCCCCCACGAGTGCAGTGGTCGGGGCTCCTCTCTGTCGCTCCCCGACCACCCTTTTAGCCCCCTCCCAAAAAATTATTGGGGCTGTCTCTCCACCCTGATCCCTTTCAGGGCCTCCATCTTTCTTGCCAGATCCTCTCTTATCTCCCGCCAAGTCCATCCTCTCTGCTCCTCCTCGGCACACTGCTTGGTCCAAGTCTGGTGGGATTTTCTGTCACCTACGTTAAGGAACGGGACGGACCAAGGTGCAGCGTGAATGGCGCACATGTTTATTAAAGAATAAACACACGAAACAGTAACCAAAACAACAAACCTAACTGTGACGGTCCAAAGGTTAACACACAAGCCTAAACATGAACATAACCAAAATCCCACAACGCAGGCAGGAAAACTGGTTGCCTAAGTATGATCCCCAATCAGAGACAACGAGCGACAGCTGCCTCTGATTGGGAACCACACCCGGCCAAACATAGAAATACAAACCTAGAATATATTCACACCCTGACCAAACTAGCTAGAGTTCTATAGGCCAGGGCGTGACAGAAGCCATAACACATAATTTTTTCCAGCAGCAGACTGATGGATAATGTCACAAGCCGCACTGAAGTGTAACAAAACAGCTCCCACAATCTTTTTATCATCAATTTCTCTCAGCCAATCATCAGTCATTTGTGTAAGTGCTGTGCTTGTTGAATGTCCTTCCCTGTAAGCGTGCTGAAAGTCTGATGTCAATTAGTTTACTGTAAAATAGCATTGTATCTGGTCAAACACCATTTTTTCCCAAAGGTTTACTAAGGGTTGGTAACAGGCTGATTGGTCGGCTATTTGAGCCAGTAAAAGGGGCTTTACAATTCTTAGTTAGAGGAATGAATTTTGCTTCCCTCCAGGCCTGAGGGCACACAATTTCTAGCTTAAATTGATGATATGGGAAATAGGAGTGGCAATACCATCCGCTATTATCCTTAGTAATCTTCCATCCAAGTTGTCAAACCCCGGTGGCTTGTCTTTGTTGATAGACAACAATAATTATTTCACCTCTTCCACACTCACTTGATGCAATTAAAATGTATAATGATTGTCTTTCATAATTTGGTCAGATATACTTGGATGTGTAGTGTCAACATTCGTTGCTGGCATGTCATGCCTAAGTGTGCTAATCTTGCCAATGAAAAAATAATTAAAGTAGTTGGCAATATCAGTGAGTTTTGTGATGTATGAGCCATCTGATTCAATCAATGATGGAGCTGAGTTTGCCTTTTGCCCAGAATTTAATTTAAGGTGCTCCAAAGCATATTACTATCATTTTTTATATCATTTATCTTTGTTTTATAATATAGATTCTTCTTCTTTTATTCAGTTTAGGCACATGATTTTTCAATTTGCAGTACGTTTGCCAATCGGTTGTGCTGCCAGACTTATTTGCCATACATTTTGCTTCATCCCTCTCAACCATACAATTTTTCAATTCCTCATCAATCCAAGGGGATTTAACAGTTTTTACAGTAATTCTCTTAATGGGTGCTTATTAGTAACTGGAATAAGCAATTTCATAAATGTGTCAAGTGCAGTGTCTGGTTGATCCTCATTACACACCACAGACCAGCAAATATTCTTTACATCATCCACATAAAAATCACAACAAAACTTTTTGTATTACCTCTTATACACTATATTAGGCCCAGCCTTTGGAACTTTGATTTTCCTAGATATGGCTACTATATTTTGATCACTACATCCGATGGATTTGGATACTGCTTTAAAGCACATTTCTGCAGCATTAGTAAAGATGTGATCCATACATGTTGATGATTTAATTCCTGTGCTGCTTGTAACAACCCTGATAGGTTGAATGATAACCTGAACCAGGTTTCAGGCACTGGTTACAGTTTTGAAACTTTTTCTTGAGTGGGCAGCTTGATGAAAGCCAGTCAATATTGAAATCACCCAGAAAATATACATCTCTGTTGATATCACATACATTATCAAGCATTTCACACGTATTATCCAGATACTGACTGTTAGCACTTGGTGGTCTATAGCAGCTTCCCAAAAGAATGGGCTTTAGGTGAGGCAGATGAACCTGTAGCCATATTACTTAAATAGTATTTAACATGAGATCCTCTCTAAGCTTTACAGGATTGTGGCTCTTAATATAGAACGCAACACCGCCCCCATTGGCATTTCTGTATTTTCTGTAGATTTTATAACCATATATTGCTACCACTGTATCATCAAAGGTATTATCTAAGTGAGTTTCAGAGATAGTCAGAATATGAATGTCATCTGTTTCTAGCAAGTTATTTACTTCATTAACCTTGTTAATGTGGGCTGTTTTTAGCACTTTTCTGGGATGCTTGATTGTTTTCATTGCTTTACAGGGAAGCTTAGCAGAAGTAGAAATGCTCATGCTATTTATGTTAGTGCAGAGTGAACTGCACACAGTGGACTTCCAACTAGGGCATACCGCCTCAGTGCTAACAGTATAACTCTGGTTCATAGGCACATGATTACTGCATACAGCAGTGGAATCAGCAGAGGCATTCAGGGCAGTTAGAGGGACATCAATTAGGTTACTTACATTGTGTCTTCCAACGCCCCTGGAAAAATGTATATTTGCTGAAGCATTATTACAACTCAGCGACACAATGGTAGGGATTATCTGAGCTGGGCTTGGGTCATTGATAAGTCATTGTCTCAACGCAGCCTTATAATGCTGTGAAAGGATCCAGGAACCCAAATGATTTGGGTGGATCCCATTCTCCTTATAAAAATGATTTTTGTCTCTTTTAATTTGAAGCTTGAGTGTGAATATGTTCGTATTTCACATGTTAAGACTTGTCTTTCTTTCTTCTTTCTTCATTTCTTTGTACTTCTTTTCCTTGGAAAAGGTTGTGGGATATACTGGAACCAGGACATATCCATCCCTAAGGATTTTAGTGATGTAGTTCCTCCGGATTGTGGGAATCCCATTGAACTGACCAGGGTAAGTTCAGTTCAACCTCCAGTTCAACCTCGGTTACTTCCCATTCCTAAGTGAATGTCACTAGGGTGGCCAAACAGTTATGGCACATTAGGCAACGCATCAGTCCAGATATCATGTCATTCCATATAATATCATAACACCTTTTATATACACTTCATTATTTTGCTAATACATGAGATGTTAAGCCACTAAGTAGGGCTTATGAAGCCTTTATAGCCACATTTTTTGTTCATATAAAGTAGGACCCCTCTTGTTATTGTCTGTTATACTGATGACAGAGCAGGAAGACATTTAGTCTAGATTTGACTGGAAATATGGTCATAAATCATCAGTCATCATCACAAACAGAGAGCACAGTGTTGCTGCTAGACAGCAGACCAGAAAAGGCTGGTGACACAAGTGTTATAAGACACTTCCTGTGGGTGTCATAGCGGACTGTTGAGTGGTGTGTTTTATGGTTTCTATATGGACAACTCTATTTGAGTTACATTTACAGTAAGGTGTGAAAATCTCAAATATGGTGGTGTCTGACACACGTTGTGTGTTTATCACAATAAATGATTCAATGAATCAACAGTTGCACAGACTGGATAGGCCTATAGCTATTCCACTCACCTGGGATTGACACTAGACATGTCGAAAGTCCTCCTACTGACTACAGTAAGATGAGTACTAAAGTGAATATTGCAGTGTCTTGAAATATGACTCTAATAGGAAGTATTTTTCTCACAGAGGGAGTTGCTTGCTTTAGCAAAACCAACAGTGGAGTCGACCATGGGGATGCCAGAGGACTTATCGATAGTCGGGAACAGAACCTTCCTGGACTCTGAGTTCCGCTACACCCTCTTCCCAGTGTTCTACAGTGTTGTGTTCATCCTTGGGCTGATACTCAACAGTTACGTGTTGTTCGTGCTGTGGCGCCTGCGCAACGCCAAGGCAATGAACGAGATCTGCATCTACATGGCCAACCTGACTGTGGCCGACCTCCTCTTCGTGTGCGCCCTCCCCTTCTGGATCGGCTACTACCACCACGGCGGTGTCTGGCTCTACGGCGACTTCCTGTGCCGTGTCACCGGCGTGTTCTTCTTCATCAACACCTACTGCTCCGTCCTCTTCCTCACCGCCATCAGCGTCAACCGCTACTGGGCCGTCACGCGCCCGCTGGACGCCGCCTCGTCCGACCATTGGTGCCGTGGGGTGGCCGTCACAATGGTCATCTGGGTGGTCACTCTGTCCATGTCGGTGCCGTATCTCTTGGAGACAGGCATCCAGGTTGACAAGGACAACGTGTCGCGATGCTTCGAGGGCTACCACCACGAGACGGACAGCGAGAAGCGGCTTGTGGCCGCAACCCACCTTACCATTGTGGGATGCTTCGTCTTGGTCTTCTTCCTCGTCGTAGTGTGTAATCTGCTCATCGCCCGGGCGTTACTAGCGCAGTCCTCTACACAGGCCCAGTTGCTTTGCTCAAGTTCCTCCAAACCCCGGGGGGTGAAGGGCCGGGCCCTGCAGATGCTGTGTGCTGTGGTGGGGGTGTTTGTGGTGTGCTTCCTCCCCCACCACGTGGTCCAGGGACCCTGGACCCTGGCTGTGCTGGACATCAAGGAGGGATGGGGCAGCATAGACTGGAACAAGAGGACCAGGCAGTGGTTGAACGACGCCCACCAGGTCACCCTGATGCTGATGGGGCTCAACTGCCTCTTGGACCCCGTAGTGTACTGCTTCGCCACCAGGAGATTCCACCTGTACATCAAGGACCATCTGAAAAAGATGGGAAGGGGCAAAGGCTGCTCGGAAACAGCCATCACACACATGTCTATGGAGGAGTGCAAGAATGTGAGCCAGCAGCACAATAGAGAACAGTAGCAGCTCAATAATTAAAGTCCTACAATGTAATGGAAAACTGTCATTTATACGGTAACTTTGGGTATTATCAACAGTAAATTATTCTAAACGTTTTACTGCAGCATAGTGTAAATTGTTGTGGGCATGGAAATAATTAAATGGTACTGTAATTCCACCACACATAATACAGTACTGTACCGTGTCTTTGGAGCGCCAAAAACCTTTTGACCAGTTGTGGTGCATGGAATTGTTGTTTCTGGCTCATTAACATATTTTGAGGCATGCCTTGTAAGAAGCTATATTTGTTGCACCCATGAGTGAAAATGCTGAACCAATTTAACTCCTATGTTCTAGGAGACAGATTGTATAGGGAACAGATTTTAGTGGCAGCAAGTCTTGAACCTTAAATGGTTGAGCATTTTGCCGTGTCCTTTTGGTCTGTTTTTCCCTGTAGTCGCTGCCAGTTTGGAAGACTTTGTAAAGGCCACTAGAGGTGCAAGTGATATAAAACACCAAATATGCATTAATATGCTGTAATGTGTAAACATTTTACCTAGCAGCCACCCTCAGTGGGTCGTTTACAACCAGATGCATGTGGTTTTCAGGGGAAATGGAAAGAGAGCCTGTGACGCTCAAGAGACTTCCGCTTTTGAACGATAACAAGGCGACACTCCCATCGTAACTCCTCCTCCACTTTTATTGGATTGGTTGAACAGTGCAGAAGAGAACCTCCCCCAACAGATTTTCTTCTTCTCGTCAGCTACATTAGGTTACCTAGCAGCCAACCTGCTTGCACCAATCCCTTGTTATTACAGTAAAATACTGTGAAATACAAACTCCTCCCCTCAATTAATTTCATTCATTCATTCATTCCGATTACGGTAGCATATTTCTTTTTTACTGTATAATACAGTACATTTTACGCTATTGTACTGTGTGTCATTACACAGTACTTGCTTTGATACCATATTTATATTACAGTAGGTGTACTGTAATATGAAATACGAAATTGTACTAGCCACTGAGCTGCCTGTAAGTTGCTGTCAAATTCACGGCAACACCTTTAAAGGGGAGCTAACGTTGTATTGTAGATATTCTGGCCATGCTAATGCTGACTTTTCTTGGTGACCACATCCTCAGGATGCTTTCAATCAAACCACAAACCCACACCTGATGCAATTTGTAAAGCAACATGTCACTTATGTTTTCAGTTCTACTGTTATATTGTATCTCACACTGTATCTTACACTTTATCCTTGTGACAGACTTGCGACATCAATTTCACCACCTCTTTCTTCCTGTTCTTTTTCTCTTTGAGTGTAAACAGAGTAGAAAAGCAGAAGTTTCATAGGGAACTGGAGCTTCTATAAATGATAGATTCACTCCTCTTACAATTCCCTCCGGAAGGAAATTAGGGGCTCTATTCAATCAGATCCTCTTTAGCAGACATTTGCATAGCGGTTGTTTTGGCGCTGTAGGAGGTGGAACTGGATGGAGCTGTCAAATCCACAAGCAGCTCCTGGCATTATACCTAAAGCGGACATTGCCATTGACTGCACAGAGTCGCATAAAGATAAATCCCATGCGGCCATGTGTACAAGTTTGAATACTGGAATGTGAGCTGTAATCTACACCTGATAGAAATCCTCATTATTTTGTTGCATGATTTAAAATTTGAGCATCATTATTTCTATGTAGCCTATACTTTCTCGTTCTGAACTTCTAACGTGAGTAGGATTGGTGTGGCTTTGTGACAATGATCAAGACCAGCTGCTCACCGATATGACAGGTCAAATGCAGTTACACCGCCAAAACATCAGCTATGCGGGTGTCAACTATCGCCCGTTAACGCTTGATCTGATTGAATCTAGGCCTAAGGGTCCCACTGTTCGGCAAGAATAGGAGCAAGGCAAGTTTCATTCAGTCATCAGGATGCTGAACAATGGGACATAGGACAGATGCAGGCCCAATACACGGTTGGACAGTAGTCCGCAAAGACGTTGAATATGTGAACATTTAAATGTGTGACTTTTGTACTAACTTTCCAGTTTTCCGTACTGCATGTAATATATGTGACTCGTTTCAGGAAACTAGGCGTATGTCACACCTCACTCCTTCACAGGAGTGCCATTTTAACGTAAACTTTTATTTATTTATCAAAATGCGTTTTTGGGGCAGAAATGCCTTCTGGAACGTGAACTTTCATGTGCCTTAATAACAAACTTGTATGCCATTATTAAATACAAATAAAATTGTTAAATTAAGAGCCTAGTTGGTTTAGCCATGGAAAAAGACAGCAACCTTCCCCCTAGCCATGATTGGCTGAGATAATGAGTGGGCTGGACATGCCGAGAGATGAGTTCGGATTGGTCTGCCATGTAGCGCGCTTCTGTCCATAACATGAGCTGGTCAGTATGTGTAGGTAATCCTTTCTAATGCAGCTTTTTTGAAATAAATCACTTAGAAGAACTGCATAAGTGTTGCTCTCCACTTTCTGGAGGACCGAGTTTTGAAATCAGTGGAATTAGAGTATGATAGCTAAGGAGATGGAGAACATTCTGGCGTTTTATGGCAAATATGCAGACAGAGTCAAAAAGAGAACACACAGAAGGCTGTTGGATAAAACACCTGTCTCCGGATTACATCTTCAAACTAAGGGCAACCATGGCATCTGTGACAGAGAGGGAAAAGCGTCCATCCATGTATACGTGTAAGATAGTCTAGTTTGCTCCATTTTCAAATATTACACGTTTCTAATTTTGTCAGAAAGTCGTTTTCATTTCAAGTTAAAGTGTACTGTTAGCTAGCTAGCTAACGTTAGCTGGCTGGCTTGCTAGCTAACGTTACGCGTATGATCTGTGTAGTAATATTATTCGTATCTCAGAGCCATTTGCGTTGCTAGTTATAACCTATTGTTAGCTAGCTAACATTGAACCTGGTTGGTTAGCTACCTGCAGATTCATGCAGGGTAGTAACATTATGAGTTGGGATTATGGTTCATTGTTTAGATAGCTAGCTACATGTCTAAACAAAAGGCTCCACTATGCAAGTAACTATTTCAATAGAATGTTTATGATGTCACTGCGACAACTGTTGATAGACAGTAAATTCGTTCTGGTTATCTACTCTGATTTCAGAGCACTCTCGTCTGAGTGTGCCAGAGCGCAGAATAACTGACGAATTTATGAACGCTCAACACCCGTTGATATGATTTGATTTGATTTGATTTGATATGTCCGGTGTCAGTGAACTTTGGCAAAAAAGCGTAATTAAATTGTTGCCAGCAGCACAGTTGCAAGTCACCAACGCTCTGGATAACATAACAGCCTAACCAGCTCTGCTAGGGCGAGTAAAATGGTCAGAGTGAGCTGTTCTCTCATTTGTGTCTGGAATTAGCTCGCAAGCTAGCCAACGTTAGCCAGTTAGCTTGGGTGGTTGACTGCTGTTGTTATGTCGGAATGCTCGGATCAACCCTACTCCTCAGCCAGAGCGTCCAGTGTGCGCTCTGAACATAAGAACGGACAATCTGACAACGCTCTGAGTTTACGAACGCCCAGAGCACACTCTGGCACTCCAGATTAAATTTACGAACACACCCGTAGCATAAACCAGCCTTTAGTCTTGAAATCTTTGTTTGTTTAGGCCCCGTGTAGCTCAGTTGGTAGAGCATGGCGCTTGCAACGCCAGGGTTGTGGGTTCGATTCCCACGGGGGGCCAGTATGAAGAAAAAAAATGCATGCACTAACTGTAAAGTCGCTCTGGATAAGAGCGTCTGCTAAATGACTAAATTGTAAATGTTTAGTACATAGCCTCACATGTGAATCCTTAAAGAGATGGTGGGGCTAAATATTAAGAGGGTGTGAACGATGCTGAATGGGTGTAGACAAAGAAGAGCTCTCCAGTAGGTAACAAAACATTCAAGGGCCATTTTCTCAAAAGTGAGGTTACAAGTATATCAACTTTCAAAGCAGAATTACTTTCCCATTGTTCCTCAACTGTAGTGTATGATATAACATTTTATAGCTTGGAGTCTCTACTTATCCAATGTAAAAAAACACAATTTCAATTTTTGCTACATAAGACCGAATCGAGCCGGTTGGTCACATATTATAGTATATTATATACAGTTTTACGTACTGCATGTAACATATTGTGTTGTGTTTGTGTATTTGTATGCTGATGTTAGGAAATAAATGTCCATGTAAATGGACAAACTATATCATATCGTATTTGTTTTGTAAGATTGCAAAACAAATACTGGGAGCCCAGAAGTACTTTTTAAAATGTGATGCATTGCTATTATTATTGTAAATAATTTTTGTCATTTTAGTCAAAGAATGATGGAGTAACAAGCTTCAAGGTCCTTTTACGAGGCTGGTAACCATTCCACTGGGCACAGATGTCAATTCAACATCTATTCCACATTGGGTCAGCGTAATTTCATTGAAACAATGTTGATTCAACCAGTGTATGCCCAGTGGGATGTGATGAACTTGATGACTTCTCAGCTGTCAGCTGCTGAAGTATAAACAGAGACGGTTTATGAAGTAAATTGACCTCTAGTATAAATGTTGCACTTACTGTAACGCTTTGTATGTGATGCAGTTGAAACATATTGTGTAACACGCTGTAATACATTCTCAAATAAAAAAAATATCTAACGGATAGATTGTTATTGAAATGCCAGTTTTTTTTGTTTCACAAACAAAAAGCTACCATTAAAATTTTATGGGAAATATAACAAACAAACATTTACACTTTTCAAACCTCTTCTTTTTTGTAAGTAAGCCACATTTGGCTTCTCTTCAAATATTACACAAATACTAAGACAGACAGACATATACTTAGGGACAGTTTCTCTGACACATGGTCAATGGAGAATTGCAATTGTTTTTTAGTCCAGCAATAGGTTTAATCTGTGTGGAAAACCGCCCAACAATTTTAAAAGTGAGCGAAGGAGGAAGTATCACTTCTGGTATCTACAGTATGTGGTTTATCAAGTGGGGTGTTCTAGTGTTACATTCATGTTACATTTACATATGATGTTCCTGTCCTCTGGGGATGTCCAATCATTCTCGCTAGTGGTGGAAAAAGTACCCAATTGTCAGACCTGAGTAAAAGTAAAGATACCTTAATAGAAAATGACTCAAGTGAAAGTCACCCAGTAAAATACTACTTGAGTAAAAGTCTAAAAGTATTTGGTTTTAAATATACTTAAGTATCAAAAGTAAATGTAATTGCTAAAATATACTTAAGTATCAACAGTGAAAGTATAAATCATTTCAAATTCCTTATATTAACCAAACCAGATGGTTAGCCATGGGCACACTCCAACACGCCGACATCATTTACAAATGAAGCATATGTGTTTAGTGAGTCCAAAAGATCAGATGCAGTAGGGATGACCAGCGATGTTCTCTTGATAAGTACGTGAATTGGACCATTTTCCTGTCCTGCTAAGCATTCAAAATGTAAAGAGTACTTTTGGGTGTCAGGGAAAATGTATGGAGTAAAAAGTACATTAGTTTCTTTAGGAACTTTGTGAATTAAAAGTTGTCAAAAATATAAATAAGTAAGTACATATACCCCAAAAAACTACTTAAGTGGTACTTTAAAGTATTTTTACTTAAGTACTTTACACCAGTGATTCTCGCTCATGACAAGGTGGTGTAGACGTTATCTCAACAAGGCGTAGGTATCATCCCAAGGTGGAGTAGGTATCATCCCCTTTCATGAAGGTGGGGCACCTGTCGCTGTAGGCTCGGTTGGTTTCATCAGTTCATATAGACTACTCCCTCATCCCCAGTCTGGGCCTAGGGCTGACACCCCACCATAGTGGTGATAGCAGACACTACATCAAATGATTGCATGCATGTGTCTAATAACTACAGAATTGTGTTCCATTACACATTGTTCGGTAATTTACTTTGACGACATATCCATAACGCATTCATTACACATCTATAAGCATTTCATGAACGTGTTATAACAGGACCCAACCACATTATTGAAGGTTAATTAAGTATATCCATAGCATATCTATAGCACGTACATGTCATGCTATGCAAGGCCGTCATTGTAAATAAGAATTTGTTCATAAATGACTTGCCTAGTTAAATAAAGGTAAAATTAAAATTAAAAAATAAATGTAGGTATCTTAATAGATTCATTATTACAATAACAGTACACTGTCATCATTATGGCTGTTTTCAAAAGTGTGCTTCTGCCAAACCAGTGTTAGCTAGTGAATATGTCAAAAGGCCAAACCACGTTTAGAAAATTATGCTGAAATTTTGCCTGTATCAGCCCAATTTTCCCTCACCGGCCGGTATAGGCCCGTGACTTACCTTCTTCACTGAGGTCAATGGTGCATGAAGATCCCCACAGGTTTGAATCCTCAGGGTACATTTTATGGATCAAGTCGTGTAGTTGAGGGTCATATCATAACTCTTTCGTAACTCATTAAAGTTGGTCACACTGGTCTATAATGCACACATGAAGGGTCTATGTATAGATTCTATGCAGTCAATGTAAAGTGAAATCTATGTATTTTCCCATTCATAAGGCATTCATAGCTAAGCACTTGATGGTAAATAACTGTGCAGTTTGCCACTGATCTATAACACTATTAAAGGTCTACATGAATTTTATGCAGTCAATGTAATGGAATTTCTATTTTCCCATTCATAAAGCATTTATAAACATGCCCCACTTATCAAAAGAATACTGACACAACACAGAATGTTACAGGAAACATTTTAACATTTTATTTACATTTTCCAGGTGTAGCACAGAAAACAATTGAGGACATGGCCGAAGAATCCTAGCTACTATAGACATTTTTCAATTGGACTTTTCTTGAATAGATTTAACAAAGATTTATATTCAAACCATTCAAATTCACTTCCCTAGGAGAAGGACGGAAGCAATACTGCAATGCATTCCGGCAGGAGTTGTTCACAATCTAGTCCGGTTGCGGCAACAACTAGACCTTGTTTCAAATGTATCAAGAAATGATCTTATTTGTATGCCTAGCAATCAACAAATGTACATTGTTTAGCACACATGTTTACAAGTCTCAGTCACAATTAACAGCTCCAATAAGCCCCCAGTGGTGAACGACATGTGAATGAGAAGCTTGTAGAATCATGACTCTTTCAAGTTTTCAGTTCATTGTTCTCCGGTAGGTGTTTCTGCGTGCTCTGGGCATTACTGACTCAAGTGAATGAAATTAGTCGAAAGGTTCGTTCTTTTGACTTAACAAGTCGAAAAGATCAGAGTCAGTAAAAAGAGCTGAACTTCCCATCACTACTTTAAACAGGACAAATTAAGAGACAGAAACCAGTTGCTTCATTTTGACTGCAAAAGAGAGGTGAGAGGTCAGTGTTACATTACATTTTCGTCATTTAGCAGACGCTCTTATCCAGAGCGACTTACAAATTTATGCATTCACCTTATGATAGCCAGTGGGACAACCACTTTACAATATATATTATTTTTTCTTTGGGGTGGGGTAAGGGGGGGTAGAAGGATTACTTTATCCTATCCCAGGTATTCCTTAAAGAGGTGGAGTTTCAAGTGTCTCCGGAAGGTGGTGAGTGACTTCGCTGTCCTGGCGTCGTGAGGGAGCTTGTTCCACCATTGGGGTGCCAGAGCAGCGAACAGTTTTGACTGGGCTGAGCGGGAACTGTGCTTCCGCAGAGGTAGTGGGGCCAGCAGGCCAGAGTTGGATGAACGCAATGCCCTCGTTTGGGTGTAGGGACTGATCAGAGCCTGAAGGTACAGAGGTGCCGTTCCCCTCACAGCTCCATAGGCAAGCACCATGGTCTTGTAGCAGATGCGAGCTTCAATTGGAAGCCAGTGGAGTGTGAGGTGACGTGAGAGAACTTGGGAAGGTTGAACACCAGACGGGCTGCGGCGTTCTGGATGAGTTGTAGGGGTTTAATGGCACAGGCAGGGAGTCCAGCCAACAGCGAGTTGCAGTAATCCAGACGGGAGATGACAAGTGCCTGGATTAGGACCTGTGCCGCTTCCTGTGTAAGGCAGGGTCGTACTCTGCAAATGTTGTAGAGCATGAACCTACAGGATCGGGTCACCGCCTTGATGTTAGCGGAGAACGACAGGGTGTTGTCCAGGGTCACGCCAAGGCTCTTTGCACTCTGGGAGGAGGACACAACGGAGTTGTCAACCGTGATGGCGAGATCATGGAACGGGCAGCTTGAGGTGGTGATCTGTCATCCACACTGATATGTCTGCCAGACATGCAGAGATGCGATTCGCCACCTGGTTATCAGAAGGGGGAAAGGAGAAGATTAGTTGTGTGTCGTCTGCGTAGCAATGATTGGAGAGGCCATGTGAGGATATGACAGAGCCAAGTGACTTCGTGTATAGCGAGAATAGGAGAGGGCCTAGAACTGAGCCCTGGGGGACACCAGTGGTGAGAGCACGTGGTGCGGAGACAGATTCTCGCCACGCCACCTGGTAGGAGTGACCTGTCAGTTCGGACGCAATCCAAGAGTGAGCCGCGCCGGAGATGCCCAACTCGTAGAGGGTGGAGAGGAGGATCTGATGGTTCACAGTATCAAAGGCAGCAGATAGGTCTAGAAGGATGAGAGCAGAGGAGAGAGAGTTAGCTTTAGCAGTGCGGAGAGCCTCCGTGACACAGAGAAGAGCAGTCTCAGTTGATGAGCGAGGTGAGGTAAGGGAGAAGGTCTCCGGAAATTGTCTGGAGAAGAGAGGAGGGGATAGGGCTAAGCGGGCAGGTTGTTGGGCGGCCGGCCGTCACAAGTCGCAAGATTTCATCTGGAGAGAGAGGGGAGAAAGAAGTCAAAGCATAGGGTAGGGCAGTGTGAGCAGGACCAGCGGTGTCATTTGACTTAACAAACGAGGATTGGATGTCGTCATACTTCTTTTCAAAATGGTTGACGAAGTCATCCACAGAGAGGGAGGAGGGGGGGGGGGGGGGGGGGGGGGGGGGATTCAGCAGGGAGGAGAAGGTGGCAAAGAGCTTCCTAGGGTTAGAGGCAGATACTTAGAATTTAGAGTGGTAGAAAGTGGCTTTAGCAGCAGAAACAGAGGAAGAAAATGTAGAGAGGAGGGAGTGAAAAGATTCCAGGTCCGCAGGGAGTCTAGTTTTCCTCCATTTCCGCTCGGCTGCCCGGAGCCCTGTTCTGTGAGTTCGCAATGAGTCGTCAAGCCACGGAGCAGGAGGGGAGGACCGAGCCGGCCGGGAGGATAGGGGACATAGAGATTCAAAGGATGCAGAAAGGGAGGAGAGGAGGATTGAGGAGGCAGAATCAGGAGATTGGAGGGAGAAGGATTGAGCAGAGGGAAGAGATGATAGGATGGAAGAGGAGAGAGTAGCGGGAGAGAGAGAGCGAAGGTTGCGACGGCACATTACCATCTGAGTAGGGGCAGAGTGAGTAGTGTTGGAGGACAGCGAGAGAGAAAAGGATACAAAGTAGTGGTCGAGACTTAGAGGGGAGTTTAGTAGAAGAACAGCATCTAGTAAAGATGAGGTCAAGTGTATTGCCTGCCTTGTGAGTAGGGGGGGACGGTGAGAGGGTGAGGTCAAAAGAGGAGAGGAGTGGAAAGAAGGAGGCAGAGAGAAATTAGTCAAAGGTAGACGTAGGGAGGTTAAAGTCACCCAGAACTGTGAGGGGTGAGCCATCCTCAGGAAAGGAACTTATCAAGGCACCACTCCTGGTAACACATCTCCTGGCACCACATCACTTCCTGGTGACAATCAAGCCAAAGCGTTCTTTTGGCTTCTTAGCTATTTTTCTGTTTTAAATGTGCAAAAGTACGGGCGTTACTAGCCCAGTCCCCTACCCAGGCTCGGGCCTCCTGTTCCTCCAAACCACGGGGGTTGAAGTGCCGGGCCCTGCAGATGCTGTGCGCTGTGGTGGGGGTTTTCGTGGTGTGCTTCCTCCCCCACCACGTGGTCCAGAGCCCCTGGACCCTGGCTGTACTGGAGATTAAGGAGGGCTGGGGCAGCATAGACTGGAACAAAAGGACCAGGCAGTGGTTGAACAACGCCCACCAGGTCACCCTGATGCTGATGGGGCTCAACTGCCTCTTGGACGCCGTAGTGTACTGCTTCGCCACCAGGAGATTCCACATGTACATCAAGGACCATCTGAAAAAGATGGGAAGGGGCAAAGGCTGCTCGGAAACAGCCATCACACACATCTCTATGGTGGAGTGGAAGAATGTGAGCCAGCGGCTCCATAGCGAACATCAGCAGCTCAAGAATTAAAGTCCTACACTGTAATGGAAAACTGTAATTTATACGGTAACTTTGGGTATTATAAACAGTAAAATACTCAGCATAGTGTAAATTGTTGTGGGCGGGGAAATAATTGCTTTATTTTGAATGGTACTGTAATTCCACCCCACAGAATACAGTACTGTACCGTGTTTTTGGAGTGCCAAAAACCTTTTGACCAGTTGTGGGTGCATGGTATTGTTGTTTCTGGCTCATTAACATACTTTGAGCCGTGCCTTGTAATTGCACCCATGAGTGAAATTGCTGAACCAATTTAACTCCTATGTTCTAGGAGACAGATTGTATAGGGAACAGATTTTAGTGGCAGCAAGTCTTAAACCTTAAATGGTTGAGCATTTTGCCATGTCCTTTTGGTCTGTTTTGCCTTGTAGTCGCTGCCAGTTTGGAAGCCTTTGTTAAGGCCTCTAGAAGTGCAAGTGATATAAAACACCAAATATGCATTAATATGCTGTAATGTGTAAACAATTTACCTAGCAGCCACCCTCAGTGGGTTGTTTACAACCAGATGCATGTGGTTTTCAGGGGAAATGGAAAGAGAGATTGTGACACTCAAGAGACTTCCGCTTTTGAACGATAACAAGGCGACACTCCCATCGTAACTCCTCCTCCACATTTACTGGATTGGTTGAACAGTGCAGAAGAGAACCTCCCCCAACAGTTTTTTTCTTCTCGTCAGCTACATTAGGTTACCTAGCAGCCAACCTGCTTGCACCAATCCCTTGTTATTACAGTAAAATACAAACCCGTACCTTCAATGAATTTCACATTCCGATTACGGTAGCATTATAAAAAAAATAGTATAATACAGTACATTTTACGGTATTGTTAACATATTTATATTACAGTAGGCAAACGAGTCCCCTTCTTAAGCTTTGCAGATAGATAAACCCGGTACAGCTACTGTAGTGTTGAAGGATGATTTATTGCCACCGCTTCGTAGGTACAATAATAATGACTGAAATGAGTAAAACTGAAATATAGAAAGAAAAGAACAATGAGTATGACTTATTGTATGCTATCTGGATACTAGGCTTCATTCTCAATAATAACACAGCATGTATTTGTATACATGTTCATAAACACAGAAATATGCAGCATTATGCATTAAATCGGATGTAGCTAATTCCCAACAACATGACAAGATCAAATGCACTGAACAGATATCCATGTGGCAATCAAGAAGATTCATAAATCACATTAAAATGATCATCCGTACAAAATAGCATGGCGTTTGCAACGCCAGGGTTGTGGGTTCATTTCCCACGGGGGGCTAGTATAAAAAAAAAAAAAATTATTCACTAACTGTAAGTCGCTCTGGATAAGAGCGTCTGCTAAATGACTAAAATGTAATGTAAATGATATCATCATGAATGGAATGCCAAATGTGTTATGATCAATTTTACTTACAGACAATGCTTCTACAAAATGATGGCAAGAATGATGGAGTTTGATAACGTCTGCAGCTCCACAGTGTGACTTTCACCATTTTGGAATGTAACAATTCTTCTTCTACAGGATTTAGCACATGAAACAAACAACACACATCAACACAGGACAGTGGCCCCCAAATGGTTAACAATGGAATTACATAATAACCTAAACGCAGTGGTTCCCAAACTTTTTATAGTCCCGTACCCCTTCAAACATTTAACCTTCAGCTGCGTACCCCCTCTAGTACCAGGGTCAGCGCACTCTCAAATGTTGTTTTTTGCCATCATTGTAAGCCTGCCACACACACACTATACGATACATTTATTAAACATAAGAATGAGTTTGAGTTTTTGTCACAACCTGGCTCATGGGAAGTGACAAAGAGCTCTTATAGGACCAGGGCAAACAGAATAATATAATAATACTCAATAATTTTGCTCTCTTTTTTTAGCCATCTTACATAGAAAACTTTATTTGTTCATAACAAATTGTGAATAACTCACCACAGGTTAATGAGAAGGGTGTGCTTGAAAGGATGCACATAACTCTGCAATGTTGGGTTGTATTGGAGAGAGTCTCAGTCTTAAATCATTTTCCACACACAGTCTGTGCCTGTATTTAGTGTTCATGCTAGTGAGGGCCAAGAATCCACTCTCACATAGGTACGTGGTTGCAAAGGGCATCTGTGTCTTAACAGCGCGATTTGCCAAGGCAGGATACTCTGAGCGCAGCCCTTTCCAGAAATCTGACAGTGGCTTCTGATTAAATTCAATTTTCACAGAACCACTTGTTGCCATTTTGATTAGGCTCTCTTGTTCAGATATTGGTGAGTGAACTGGAGGCAAGGCATGAAAGGGATAACGAATCGGCCGATGTGAGTAAGACCTTTAAACAGGTCAACATTCACAAGGCCGCAGGGCCCGACGGATTACCAGGACGTGTACTCCGAGCATGCGCTGACCAACTGAAAGGTGTCTTCACTGACATGTTCAACCTCTCCCTGTCTGAGTCTGTAATACCAACATGTTTCAAGCAGACCACCATAGTCCCTGTGCCCAAGAACACTAAGGTAACCTGCCTAAATGACTACCGACCCGTAGCACTCATATCTGTAGCCATGAAGTGCTTTGAAAGGCAGGTCATGGCTCACATCAACACCATTATCCCAGAAACCCTAGACCCATTCCACTTTGCATACCGCCCCAACAGATCCACAGATGATGCAATCTCTATTGTGCTCCACAATGCCCTTTCACACCCGGACAAAAGGAACACCTATGTGAGAATGCTATTAATTGACTACAGCTCAGCGTTCAACACCATAGCGCCCTCAAAGCTCATCACTAAGCTAAGGACCCTGGGACTAAACACCTCCCTCTGCAACTGGTTCCTGGACTTTCATTTTTCATTTCATTTTTAGTCATTTAGCAGACGCTCTTCGTGACGGACCGCCCCCTGGTGGTTGCATCACTGCCTGGTATGGCAACTGCACAACCTCTGACCGCAAGGCACTACAGAGTGTAGTGTGTACGGCCCAGTACATCACTGGGGTCTTGCTTCCTGCCATCAAGGACCTCTATGCCAGACGGTGTCAGAGGAAGGCCCTAAACATTGTCAAAGACTCCAGCCACCCTAGTCATAGACTGTTCTCTCTGCTACCGCACGGCCAGCGGTACCGGAGCGCTAAGTCACTGCTGCTGCTCTCTGTTTATCATCTATGCATAGTCACTTTAATAACTCTACCTACATGTACATATTACCTCAATTACCTCGACTAACCTGTGCCCCCGCACATTGACTCGAAACCGGTACCCCCTGTATATAGCCTCGCTATTGTTATTTTTACTGCCGCTCTTTAATTATTTGTTACTTTTATTTAGTAATATTTTATAGTGTATTTCATTGTGTGATTTTTTTTTGTTGGTATTCTTTCTTAAAACTGCATTGTTGGTTAAGTGCTTGTAAGTAAGCATTTCACTGTAAGGTCTACACCTGTTGTATTCGGCGAATGTGACAATCTGTTTTGATTTGATTTGAATCCTGTGACAATTTGATTTGATTTGATTTGAATCCAGTTGTTTGTGTCGTCCGTTTCGGGAAAGTACCTGCATAATTGCGCACCCAGCTCACTCAGGTGCTTCGCTATATATCACATTTGACATTGTCCGTTAGCTTGAGTTCATTTGCACACAAAAAATCATACAATGATGGAAAGACCTGTGTTGTCCTTGTTAATGCAGACAGAGAAGAGCTCCAACTTCTTAATCATAGCCTAAATGTTGTCCCGCACATTGAATATAGTTGCGAAGAGTCCCTGTAATCCTAGATTCAGATCATTCAGGCGAGGAAAAAAAAGTGTCAAAACTTTGCCCTTTGATAACCAGCGCACTTCTGTATGTTGTAAAAGCGTTACATGGTCGCTGCCCATATCATTGCATAATGCAGAAAATACACGAGAGTTCAGGGGCCTTGCTTTAACAAAGTTAACCATTTTCACTGTAGTGTCCAAAACATATTTCAAGCTGTCAGGCCTTCCCTTGGCAGCAAGAGCCTCTCGGTGGATGCTGCAGTGTACCCAAGTGGCGTCGGGAGCAACTGGTTGCACGCGTGTTACCACTCCACTATGTCTCCCTGTCATGGCTTTTGCGCCATCAGTACAGATACCAACACATCTTGGTATCTGTACTTTTATTTTTGATACTTAAGTACATGTTAGCAATTCCATTGACTTTTGATACTTAAGTATATTTAAAACCAAATACTTTTAGACTTTTACTCAAGTAGTATTTTTCTGGGTGCCTTTCACTTTTACTTGAGTCATTTTCTATTAAGGTATCTTTACTTTTACTCAAGTACGACTTTTGAGTACTTTTTCCACCACTGTATAAGTGAACCCCAAATCAATGTAGTTCTCATCATATTTACGCCTCTTCGATGGTCCGACGTCCCTGTCTGTTGTTCGGTGCTTTCCCGGCTAAGGGGGCAGTAGCTCTTCGGCTGCATCAGATTCACAACTGTCAGTGTCCATGCTAGCTGGGCTAGCAACAAATATAGAATTACTGACGCTAGCGTTGGATGTGCTCGTGGAAGCAGAACAACTTGTGTCGTCGACAGGTGCAGGTGTAGTACTGCTGGTAGTAGCAGTACTACCAGTAGAGCTGGTATGTGTCTCTATGGACGCGGGCCGTACTTTTTAAAACCATTTATCCATTTTTAGAGCAAACGGAATGAGCAACAGCTATCTTTGGCTACATACGGACCGTTAATGGAATTCCTGTGAGAGTAACGGTTAATGTGATTAGATGTTAATTATTTGACAATGCTACCTGTATTTGACATTGTGTTGTTATTTCGACGGAACACTAGATGGTTTAATTTTATTTTTGGCAGTGAAACGAGGCTACTCAAGCGGGAAAAAAACATCACCCAAATGAATAGCCCCGTTGGAAAATCTAAATGGACTGTTTAAAAATGTGAATCACATTTTAATTTGGTGTACCACCGACGGCATCACGCGTACCCCTGGGGAATAGCCGGCCTAAAGGAACTCAAACCCAATTACAGGGGCCAGAACAGGAGTACTGTAATATGAAATACAAAATTGTACTTGCCACTGAACTGCTTGTATTATAATGAATGCTTTAAGTAATCTTTGTACCATTTGGTTCTTAGTTCCCCCCTGCAACATGTCACATATATTTTCAGTTATAGTGTACATTGTATCTCACACCGTATCTTACACTTTATCCTTGTGACAGACTTGCGACTTCAATTTCACCACCTCTTTCTTCCTGTTCTTTTTCTCTTTGAATTTAAACAGAGTAGAAAAACAGAAGTTTCATAGGGAACTGGAGCTTCTTTAAATGATAGATTCACCCCTTAAGCAATTCCAAAACGTTTGTGTGGTGCAATGTGAAATTGCGGTGTTGTGAGCTGGTGCCCTCCGGAATGAGATTAAGGGCTCCATACAATAAGATCTGCCATAGCAGACATCTGCATAGCGGTTGTTTAGGCTGTGTAGGAGTTGGAACTGCAGAGCTGTCAAATCCACAAGCAGCTCCTAAAGCGGACATTGCCATTGGCTGCATGGAGTCGCATTAAGATAAATAACATGCAGCCTTGTTTACAAGTTCGAACACTGGAATGTGAGATGTAATCTACACCTCGAATAGGCTGAAAGAAATCCTCATTATCTTGTTGAATTATAAAAAATTTGAGCGTCATTATTTCTATATAGCCTATACTTTGTCGTTCTGAACTTCTAACGTGAGTATGACAGTTGTGGCTTTGTGACAATAATCAAGACCAGCTGCTCACCGAGATGACAGGTCAAATGCAGTTACACCTCCGACACCGCCAAAACATCAGCTATGCGGGTGTCAACTATCGCCGGTTAACGCTTGATCTGATTGAATCTAGGCCTAAAGGTCCCACTGTTCAGCAAGAACAGGAGCAAAACAAATACCGGGAGCCCAGAAGTACTTTTTTAAATGTAAAGCATTGCTATTATTGTTATTGCTATTATTATTGTAAAGAATGGAATGTCTTTCCTTCTTAATGCGTTTGAGCCAATCAGTTGTGTTGTGACAAGGTAGGGGTGGTATACAGAATACGCCCTATTTGGTAAAAGACCATAAGTCCATATTATGGCAAGAACAGCTCAAATAAGCAAAAAGAAACAACAGTCCATCATTACTTTAAGACATGAAGGTCAGTCAATCCGGAAAATGTCAAGAACTTTGAACGTTTCTTCAAGTGCAGTCGCAAAAACCATTAAGTGCTGTGATGAAACTGGCTCTCATGAGGACTGCCACAGGAAATCAAGACCCAGAGTTACCTCTGCTGTAGAGGATAAGTTCATTTAAGTTACCAGCCTCAGAAATTGCAGCCCAAATAAATGCTTCACAGAGTTCAAGTAACAGACACATGTCAACATCAACAGTGGTCCTCTGTAGCTCAATTGGTAGAGCATGGCGCTTGTAAAGCCAGGGTAGTGGATTCGATCCCCGGGACCACCCATACGTAAAAATGTATGCACACATGACTGTAAGTCGCTTTGGATAAAAGTGTCTGCTAAATGGCAAAAAAAAAAAAAAAAAAAAAAAAAAAAACTGTTCTGAGGAGACTGCGTGAATCAGGCATTCATGGTCGAATTGCTGCAAAGAAACCACTACTAAAGGACACCAATAATAACAAGAGACTTGCTTGGGCCAAGAAACACGAGCAATGGACATTAGACCGGTGGAAATCTGTCCTTTGGTCTGATGAGTACAAATTTTAGATTTTTGGTTCCAACCGCCGTGTCTTTGTGAGACGCAGAGTAGGTGAACGGATGATCTCTGCATGTGTGGTTCCCACTGTGAAGCATGGAGGAGGAAGTGTTATGTTGTGGGGGTGCTTTGCTGGTGAAACTGTCAGTGATTTATTTAGATTTCAAGGCACACTTAACCAGCATGGCTACCGCAGCATTCTGCAGTGATACGCCATCCCATCAGCTTTGCGCTAAGTGGGACTATAATTGGTTTTTCAACAGGACAATGACCCAAAATACACCTCCAGGCTGTGTAAGGGCTATTTGACCAAGAAGGAAAATGCTGGAGTGCTGCATCAGATGACCTGGCCTCCACAATCACCCGACCTCAACCCAATTGAGATGGTTTGGGATGAGTTGGACCGCAGAGTGAAGGAAAAGCAGCCAACAAGTGCTCAGCATACGTGGGAACTCCTTCAAGACTGTTGGAAAAGCATTCCTCATGAAGCTCGTTGAGAGAATGCCAAGAGTGTGCAAAGCTGTCATCAAGGCAAAGGGTGGCTACTTTATACCACAGGTGATGGCTGCATGGTGCAGTTGGTGAAGAGCAACTGCAGCGACTTGTAGGCAACTTCATAAAAAACTGCATGACCTTTGTCCTTTGTCCTCTCTCCTCCGTCCTCTCCTCACCCAGAAACCGATAAGTGGTTGAGTGGTCGATGACTGTGTCAATTCGTTAGTAGGCAAACGGAAGACGGTTCTCCCCTCCTCGATAGTCTCCTTTTGGCGAGGAAGAACAAGAGTTTTGATATCTGCCACACAACCTTTGAATCAGTTGTTGTATTGTCAGAGGAGAAAACCATACACACATTTAAAGACAATAAAATGTCTTGCACAACTAACTTAATTCGTTTTTATCACTTTACACATTTATTTGGGGATCCACCCAATGATTTATATATACACTAGATGACTGACAGGGGGCGCTGTTTTGAAGCGTTTATTCTATTACAGAATATACATTTAAATTACAGTACCAGTCAAAAGTTTGGACACCTACTTATTCAAGGGGTTTTCTTTATTTTTACTATTTTCTACATTGTAGAATAATAGTGAAGACATCAAAACTATGAAATAGCACATATGGAATCATGTAGTAACCAAAAAAGTGTTAACCTCTACTGGATGGGTGTCCCAAAATCGGAACAGTTATTGCTCAGTACGGATAATGTGACTACAATGACGTTGTAAACAAAAGCACATTTTCACAGACATATACATGTCTTATATGGGCAGAAAGCTTAAATTATTGTTAATCTAAATGCAGTGTCCAATTTACAGTATTGTTTGAAGAGCACAACAACAAAACTATTTTATCACGTCGACAGGTGCACAACAACAAAACACTTTTATCACGGCGACAGGTTTGATATATTCATATCTGAAGGTAAATAATGTACTTACATTCAGTAATCTTGCTCTGATTTGTCATCCTGAGGGTCCTAACAAGATCCATGTTGTATACAGCGTTCCGACTGAATTCCGACTCGATCAACTTGCATCAAAGCATTTTGACATAATATAAACGCTACACCTTGTTTCACCCGGTCAAGTTCTGTTTATCTGTGATCCTCAGATAATCAAGAAGGCAACCAAACTTTTTTCAGCATTCTGCATGACGTATAGGCTACACAAAAGTTATTTTAGCCCACCAAGGGCTGACCTTATTATGCACCAATGAGACGGGCGGTGTTCACTTAGTGTTCTTGGGCGCATGAGAGCATCAGCTGTTCCGGACGACTGTGTGATCACGCTCTCCGTAGCCGATGTGAATAAGACCTTTAAACAGGTCAACATTCACAAGGCCGCAGGCCCAGACATATTACCAGGATGTGTTCTCTGAGCATGCGCTGACCAACTGGCAGGTGTCTTCAACTCTAAGCCTTCCGGGTTAGAGTCCCGCTCCTTGAAAGCGGCAGCTCTACCCTTTAGCTCAGTGCGGATGTTGCCTGTAATCCATGGATTATGGTTGGGGTATGTATGTACGGTCACTGTGGGGACGACGTCATCGATGCACTTATTGATGAAGCCAGTGACTGATGTGGTGTACTCCTCAATGCCATCAGACGAATCCCGGAACATATTCCAGTCTATGCTAGCAAAACAGTCCTTTAGCATCTGCTTCATCTGACCACTTTTCTATTGACCAAGTCACTGGTGCTTCCTGCTTTAGTTTTTGCTTGTAAGGAATCAGGAGGATAGAATTATGGTCAGATTTGCCAAATGGAGGACGAGGGAGAGCTTTGTACGCGTCTCTGTGTGTGGAGTAAAGGTGGTCTAGAGTTTTTTCCCCCTCTGGTTGCACATTTAACATGCTGGTAGAAGTTAGGGAAAACGGATTTAAGTTTCCCTGCATTAAAGTCCCCGGCCACTAGGAGCGCCGCCTCTGGATGAGCGTTTTCCTTTTTGCTTATGGCCGTATACAGTTAATTGAGAGTGGTCTTAGTGCCAGCATCGGTTTGTGGTGGTGAATAGACAGCTACGAAGAATATAGATGAAAACTATCTTGGTAGATAGTGTGGTCTACAGCTTATCATGAGATACTCTACCTCAGGCGAGCAAAACCTCGAGACTTCCTTAGATATCGTGCACCAGCTGTTGTTTACAAATATATATAGACCACCAGCCCTTGTCTTACCATAGGCTGCTGTTCTATCCTGCCGATACAGTGTATAACCCGTCAGCTGTATGTTATTCATGTCGTCGTTCAGCCACGACTCGGTGAAACATAAGATATTACAGTTTTTAATGTCCCGTTGGTAAGACTTACGTGCTTCTAGTTCGTCCGTTTTATTATCAAGCGATTGTACATTGGCCAATAGTATCGATGGCAAAGGCAGATTAGCCACTCATCGCCGGCTCCTTACCAGGCACCCCGATCTCCTTCCGCGATACCTTATTTTCTTTCTACTGTGAATGACGGGGATGAGGGCCCTGTCGGGTGTCTGGAGCAAATCCATCTCATCCGACTCATTAAAGAAAAATTATTCATCCATTGAAGCTGAGTAACCGCTGTTCTGATGTCCGGAAGCTCTTTTCGGTCATAAGAGACAGTAGCAGCAACATTATGTACAAAATAAGTTACAAGCAATACAAAAAAACTAACAAAATAGCACGGTTGGTAAAGTGTCAATAAAACGGCAGCCATCTCCTCCAGCACCATTATGAAGGGAAGCTAATGAACCATCATGTATGACATTCCTGGGAGTGTGTAAATAAAAATGTTTTATTACCATAGCATTTTTGTATGTTCTCTATAGTAATGTACTTGAAAATGTATCAATTGACCAATTCGGCCACTTGGAGGCCACTTGGGTACATTTGGGCTAACTCGTGAGGGACACCTGGGAGTCTTGAAACAAAATATGATGTTGTGTTGTCATCCTGAATGTATGGCCTTTAATTTTTCATTTAAAAGATGATGCAACAAAAATAGAAATAGAAAACGTATGTTTTTTTGTTTGTTTTACAGTGAGGGAAAAAAGTATTTGATCCCCTGCTGATTTTGTACGTTTGCCCACTGACAAAGACATGATCAGTCTATAATTTTAATGGTAGGTTTATTTGAACAGTGAGAGACAGAATAACAACAAAAATATCCAGAAAAACGCATGTCAAAAATGTTATAAATTGATTTGCATTTTAATGAGGGAAATAAGTATTTGACCCCTCTGCAAAACATGACTTAGTACTTGGTGGCAAAACCCTTGTTGGCAATCACAGAGGTCAGATGTTTCTTGTAGTTGGCCACCAAGTTTGCACACATCTCAGGAGGGATTTTGTCCCACTCCTCTTTGCAGATCTTCTCCAAGTCATTAATGTTTCGAGGCTGATGTTTTGCAACTCGAACCATCAACTCCCTCCACAGATTTTCTATGGGACTAAGGTCTGGAGACTGGCTAGGCCACTCCAGGACCTTAATGTGCCTCTTCTTGAGCCACTCCTTTGTTGCCTTGGCCGTGTGTTTTGAGTCTTGTCATGCTGGAATACCCATCCACGACCCATTTTCAATGCCCTGGCTGAGGGAAGGAGGTTCTCACCCAAGATTTGACGGTACATGGCCCAGTCCATCGTCCCTTTGATGCGGTGAAGTTGTCCTTAGCAGAAAAACACCCCCAAAGCATAATGTTTCCACCTCCATGTTTGACGGTGGGGATGGTGTTCTTGCGGTCATAGGCAGCATTCCTCCTCCTCCAAACACGGCGAGTTGAGTTGATGCCAAAGAGCTCGATTTTGGTCTCATCTGACCACAACACTTTCACCCAGTTCTCCTCTGAATCATTCAGATGTTCATAGGCAAACTTCAGACGGGCCTGTATATGTGCTTTCTTGAGCAGGGGGACCTTGCGGGCGCAGCAGGATTTCAGTCCTTCACGGCGTAGTGTGTTACCAATTGTTTTCTTGGTGACTATGGTCCCAGCTGCCTTGAGATCATTGACAAGATCCTCCCGTGTAGTTCTGGGCTGATTCCTCACTGTTCTCATGATCATTGCAACTCCACGAGGTGAGATCTTGCATGGAGCCCCAGGCTGAGGGAGATTGACAGTTTTTTGTGTTTCTTCCATTTGCGAATAATCGCACCAACTGTTGTCACCTTCTCACCAAGCTGCTTGGCGATGGACTTGTAGCCAAGCCAATTTTTTCCCTCACTGTATCTTTTACCAGATCTATTGTGTTATGTTCTCCTACATTAATTTCACATTTCCACAAACTTAAAAGTGTTTCCTTCCAAATAGTATCAAGAATATGCATATCCTTGCTTCAGGTCCTGAGCTACAGGCAGTTAGATTTGAGTATGTCATTTTAGGCGGAAATTGAAAATAAGGATCTGATCCTTCTTAAGTTAAACAAATCCAAATATATTTTAGATTCAAAGTAGCCACCCTTTGCCTTGATGACAACTTTGCACACTTTTTATTTATTTTGTTAAGGGGTAGATCAGCTTTAATACTGCAGATAGATTGTAACTTCCATCAATGTAATTGTCTGCATCACCTCCAATCCCCCATATGTATTTTTTCTCGCAAAAAAATAATAATATATATATATATATATATACATATATATATATACATACATATACATACACATACACATATATACATACATACATACATACATATATACATACACACATACATATCTTTTTTTTTATTATACAGTGAGGGAAAAAATGATTTGATCCCCTGCTGATTTGTATGTTTGCCCACTGACAAAGAAATGATCAGTCTATAATTTTAATGGTAGGTTTATTTGAACAGTGAGAGACAGAATAACAAATAAAACATCCAGAAAAACGCATGTAAAACATGTTATAAATTGATTTGCATTTTAATGAGGGAAATAAGTATTTGACCCCCTCTCAATCAGAAAGATTTCTGGCTCCCTGGTGTCTTTTATACAGGTAACGAGCTGAGATTAGGAGCACACTCTTAAAGGGAGTGCTCCTAATCTCAGCTTATTACCTGTATAAAAGACACCTGTCCACAGAAGCAATCAATCAATCAGATTCCAAACTCTCCACCATGGCCAAGACCAAAGAGTTATCCAAGGATGTCAGGGACAAGATTGTAGACCTACACAAGGCTGGAATGGGCTACAAGACCATCGCCAAGCAGCTTGGTGAGAAGGTGACAACAGTTGGTGCGATTATTCGCAAATGGAAGAAATACAAAATAACTGTCAATCTCCCTCGGCCTGGGGCTCCATGCAAGATCTCACCTCGTGGAGTTGCAATGATCATGAGAACGGTGAGGAATCATCCCAGAACTACACGGGAGGATCTTGTCAATGATCTCAAGGCAGCTGGGACCATAGTCACCAAGAAAACAATTGGTAACACACTACGCCGTGAAGGACTGAAATCCTGCTGCGCCCGCAAGGTCCCCCTGCTCAAGAAAGCACAAATACAGGGCCGTCTGAAGTTTGCCAATGAACATCTGAATGACTCAGAGGAGAACTGGGTGAAAGTGTTGTGGTCAGATGAGACCAAAATTGAGCTCTTTGGCATCAACTCAACTCGCTGTGTTTGGAGGAGGAGGAATGGTGCCTATGACCCCAAGAACACCATCCCCACCGTCAAACATGGAGGTGGAAACATTATACTTTGGGGGTGTTTTTCTGCTAAGGGGACAGGACAACTTCACCGCATCAAAGGGACGATGGACGGGGCCATGTACCGTCAAATCTTGGGTGAGAACCACCTTCCCTCAGCCAGGGCATTGAAAAATGGGTTGTGGATGGGTATTCCAGCATGACAATGACCCAAAACACACGGCCAAGGCAACATAGGAGTGGCTCAAAAAGAAGCACATTAAGGTCCTGGAGTGGCATAGCCAGTCTCCAGACCTTAATCCCATAGAACATCTGTGGAGGGAGCTGAAGGTTCGAGTTGCCAAATGTCAGCCTCGAAACCTTAATGACTTGGAGAAGATCTGCAAAGAGGAGTGGAACAAAATCCCTCCTGAGATGTGTGCAAACCAGGTGGCCAACTACAAGAAACGTCTGACCTCTGTGATTGCCAACAAGGGTTTTGCCACCAAGTACCAAGTCATGTTTTGCAGAGGGGTCAAATACTTATTTCCCTCATTAAAATGCAAATCAATTTATAACATTTTTGACATGCGTTTTTCTGGATTTTTTTGTTGTTATTCTGTCTCTCATTGTTCAAATAAACCTACCATTAAAATTATAGACTGATCATGTCTTTGTCAGTGGGCAAACGTACAAAATCAGCAGGGGATCAAATACTTTTTTCCCTCACTGTATTACCCTTCATTACTTTCCAACCCCACACCCCTTCCCTAATTGGAGTAAAGTAGTGAACAACAAAGGCCTCTACTTCCAGCATATACATACTATATATTTATATCCCGTTTGGCGCAGTGGTCTAGAGATCCTGGTTCGAATCCAGGCTCTGTCGTAGCTGGCCATGACCGGGAGACCCATGGGGCCTGCAGGGATGTAGCTCAGTTGGTAGAGCATGGCTTTTGCAACGCCAGGGTTGTGGGTTCGTCTGCTAAATGACTTAAAAATCAAAAATATCTATACATTTTATGGACACAGTCAAATTATACAATAATTATATTTTGTTTGTTTTTACTCCTGAACTTCCTCCGATCATTTTCATGATGTCCATCTGGTTTGCTTCTATATGCCATATTTTTCTAACTGTGCTCTTTCACAAAAGATCTCAACCTATAACCTATATACTTATTATGGACACAGTATGCTTTACATTAGTTATCTTGTTGTTATTAGTTGTTGTTATTAATCCCATCCTTCAGCTCCATTCAACACCTCCTATCCATATCTTAACACCATCTATATTGGATTTCTATTTGCCATATATTTTTCAACTGTACTGTGATGTTTTACAAAAGTTCTGAACCTTTCTATTCTCATTGTTTCTACAGATCATAAATTAAAAATAATCAATTTAGCTAAAAGTATTATTATATTATTGATCGATTGACTAGGACTTTTCAGATCACCCAGTAGTGCTATCTGCAGGGTTAGCTCCAGGTAAATATTGCAATCCTTTAGCCATTCCTGGACCTGTGTCCAAAAACAAGCTACAAATGGACAGTACCAAAACAAATGATCTAATGATTCTGTCTCTTCGCAGCAAAATCTGCAGAGCTGGAAAGATTTTATCCTCCATATAAATAATATTATATTGGTAGCAATAATTGTATATAATAATTTAAATTGAAAAATTCTAAGTTTTGAATCCGGCGTCGTTTTGCGTATCAGTTCATAAACACTATGCCATGGAATCGGTACGTCAAAAATCTCTTCCCAACTATTTTGCAATCTATGTGGGACGGCTGTTAATCCTTTGGTCCTTAAATGACACTGGTATACTTTTTTATTTCTCACAATTTTCTTTAACCAATTATGTTCTTTAATGCAAGGCCGACAGACAAGTTCCTTACTTTGTCCCTCTTCCACTTTCCTCTTCCATTTTTGCGGTAATGCTGCAATTATTTGGTTGTAATTTTGGGTAGAGCAGACATTTCCATATGTTTTTGTTAGCTGCATGTGCGACATAACTCCACCATTCCTACCGATAATATCATTTACGAAGATTATACTTTTTTTTTTTTTTCTCACAAAAAAAAAGTTTTTTAGCAATTAGTATATTTGACTTTAACCACGATATTTGTTGCAATATTTGTTCTGTCGTTTCTGGAGGATTAAATTGAAATTGCAACCAACTTTCTATGGCTTGTTTTAGAAATAGTGATATTTGGGAGATTATTTCCTTTTCAAATAACTTAAAGTGAGAGGTTGTAATCTGAATAATGGGAAAAAGGCCAGTCTTGAACATTGGGTGAGACAATCTTACTAATTTGCTAGAGAACCAGTTCGGATTTAAGTATAACTTTTGTATGACTGAAGCTTTTAGTGATAGGTCTAATGCTTTAATATTTCATAATTTCTGTCCTCCGAATTCATATTCATTATATAAATAGGCCCGTTTAATTTTGTCTGGCTTGCCGTTCCAAATAAAATGGAATATTTCTTTCTCATATAATTTCAAAAATTGTTCGCTAGGCGTAGGCAAGACCATAAGCAAATAGGTAAACTAAAGCGTTAATCAGGGTGATTTTTCCACAAATTGACAGGTATTTACCTTTCCATGGTGGCAAGATCTTATCTATTTTTGTAAACTTTCTATTAAAATGTATTGGAGTGAGATCATTTATTTCATTTGGGATATGTATTCCGAGTATTTCCACATCACCATCAGACCATTTTATTGGTAAACTACATGGTTATGTACATTTTTTATTTTTTAGTGATCCAATATGTAAAATAGTACATTTATCATAATTTGGTTGTAATCCAGAGAGATTAGAAAATGTTTCTAGATCCTCTATTAAGCTGTGGAGGGATTCAAGTTGTGTATTTAAAAGAAAACAGGAATCATCAGCGTACAATGACACCTTTGTTTTTAAGCCCTGGATTTCTAATCCCTTGATATTATTGTTGGATATGATTTTAATAGCTAACATCTCTATGGCCATAATAAATAGATATGCCGATAGTGGACAACCTTGTTTCACTCCTCTTGCCAGTTTAAAACTCTCTGAGAAAAAGCCATTATTTACTATTTTACACCTAGGGTTACTATACATGATTTTAACCCAATTTATAAGAGATTGTCCAAAATTGAAATGCTCCAGGCATTTATATATAAACCCCAGTCGTACTTTATAAAATGCCTTTTCTAAGTCTGCTATGAATAGCAGGCCTGGTTTCCCAGAGTTTTCATAGTGTTCTATTTTTTCCAGTACTTGCCTTATATTATCTCCAATGTATCGCCCATGTAGCTTTGCACACTCTTGGCATTCTCTCAACCAGCTTCACCTGGAATGCTTTTCCAACAATCTTGAAGGAGTTCCCACATATGCTGAGCACTTGTTGGCTGCTTTTCCTTCACACTGCGGTCCAATTTATCCCAAACCATCTCAATTGGGTTGAAGTAGGGTGATTGTGGAGGCCAGGTCATCTGATGCAGCACTCCGGCTTCTTGGTCAAATAGCCCTTACACAGCCTGGAGGTGTGTTGGGTTATTGTCCTGTTGAAAAACAAATGATAGTCCCACTAAGCACAAACCAGATGGGATGGCGTTTCGCTGCAGAATGCTGTGGTAGCCATGCTGGTTAAGTGTGCCTTGAATTCTAAATAAATCACAAACAGTGTCACCAGAAAAGCACCCCCACACCATCACACCTCCTCCTCCATGCTTCACAGTGGGAACCACACATGCGGAGATCATCCATTCACCTACTCTGCGTCTCACAAAGACACAGCGGTTGGAACCAAAAATCTCAAATTTGGACTCATCAGACCAAAGGACAGATTTCCACCGGTCTAATGTCCATTGCTCGTGTTTCTTGGCCCAAGCAAGTCTCTTCTTATTATTGGTGTCCTATAGTATAGTAGTGATTTCTTTGCAGCAATTTGACCATGAAGGCCTGATTCACGCAGGCTGCTCTGAACAGTTGATGTTGAGATGTGTCTGTTACTTGAACTCTGTGAAGCATTTATTTGGGCTGCTATTTCTGAGGCTGGTGACTCTAATGAATTTATCCTCTGCAGCAGAGGTAACTCTGGGTCTACCTTTCCTGTGGCGGTCCTCATGAGAGCCAGTTTCCTCATAGCGCTTGATGGTTTTTGCGACTGCACTTGAAGAAACTTTCAAAGTTCTTGACATTTTCTGGATTATCTGACCTTCATGTCTTAAAATAATGATGGACTGTCATTTCTTTTTGCTTATTTGAGCTCTTCTTGCCATAATATGGACTTGGCCTTTTACCAAATAGGGATATCTTCTGTATGCCACCCCTACCTTGTCACAACACAAGTGATTGGCTCAAATGCATTAAGAAGGAAATAAATTCTACAAATTAACTTTTAAAAGGCACACCTGTTAATTGAAGCTGGTTGAGAGAATGCCAAGAGTGTGCAAAGCTGTCATCAAGGCAAAGGGTGGCTACTTTGAAGAATCTCAAATAGTAAATATATATTGATTTGTTTAACACTTTTTTTGGTTACTACATGATTCCATATGTGCTATTTCATAGTTTTGATGTCTTCACTATTATTCTACAATGTAGAAAATAGTTTTTAAAAAATATAGAAAAACCCTGAAATGAGTAGGTGTGTCCAAACTTTTGACTGGTACTGTATGTTGGCACCTGATACGTTGGCACTCTAGACTTGCTATGCTCAAGTTGTTGTTCTTTATTCTGTACAAAGTCATGATGGAGGAAATTAAAAATGGGAAACAAAAACAATAGGAACTTTCAGATTCTAAATGTTAATCTGACAACAGATCCTCGAGTTGAATTACAATACTATTATTGTATCTCGATGGTTTGGATAGCCTTAATGTTTATATCTTTCTTTTACACCATCTTTACTACTTACATGTAGCAAGTTAAACAGTTTCTCTGTAACAACTCACTCTAAACTCAACTCACTCTAACATCTTGAGTCCACTGTGAGTCACCATTTCATAAACTTCACAGAATAATGTGACCAACCACAAGTTCCATGTTAACAGAAATGCTTGGTGCTAATGACAGGTATTCTCTTCCCCTTTCAAAAAGGGTATACTCTATCCTGGGGTAGTGGTTACATTTAGTTCGCGTCCCAAATGGCACCCTATTCCCTATAAATAGTGCACTACTTTTGACCATGGTCCATAGGGCTCTGGTCAAAAGTAGTGCATTACATAGGGAATAGGGTTCCTTTTGGAATTCAGACCTAGGCTATGACAGGTGATATTGGGGCTCCAGGGGCAGTTTGACAAAACCTCTCTCACTTGACGTTGGGTTCACTGTCAGTACTCTTTAGGCATTGTGACATATGGAAAGGAACTTGTTTTATTTTCCAGAAGAGTCTTGGCTTTAGAGAGTTCCTGACATTGTGTTATGAAGATAAGTATTTTTCTTTGTTTTCTGGCAGACTTGACAGTATGAGAGCTGGCTATCCAAATGGCACCATATTCCCCATGGGGACTGGTCAAAGCAATCCACTATGTAGACAATAAGGTGCCATTTGGGATGCAGTGTAGATGGGTACTTCTGTTAATAGGAGCCAATGAGATTGGCCTATAGCCTATTGACCAACAGTAGGGCGTCTCTCTTTTAGTATATGATTATTTTGCAAGTGTCTTGGCCTTGCTGTTTCTTCCCCTTTTGACGTATTTTGGCTGTTCGTTACTGCAGTAACTACTTATGAAACTATTACATCACCTGTGTCACCAGTCTGACACAGACCGTGTTTCTGTGACAATGACTATGTCACATTTAGCCATTCAGGGACTCTTAAAAGATGGGACAATCTCAACCTTTCTTTACAAATATTTTTCTTAATATTGACAACATTTGAAATATATATTTTGATACACCAAAGTATCAGCTATCACATCATGTAAAGGAACAACCTCATATTTCTTTCCTTCACAGAATGGAACTAACTAGATATATATCAAATTTAATTTTAAATGCCTTGATCGTTTAAATGTAACATTCGATTATTCAAGTATGGAATACAAATCTCCAAACTTCTTTTTGTTTTGTTTTGTTTTATAGCACTATATAATGCTCCAGGGCTAAATTAGTTAGACATTTCAAATGAAATCTAATATATATATATATATATATATATATATTTTTTTTATATATATATATTTTTTGTCATTTAGCAGACGCTCTTATCCAGAGCGACTTACAGTTAGTGAGTGCATACATTTTCATACTGGTCCCCCGTGGGAATCGAACCCACAACCCTGGCGTTGCAAACGCCATGTTCTACCAACTGAGCTACACGGGACTAATTAAATTGTATTTGTCACATGTGCCAAATACAACAGGTGTAGACCTTACAGTGAAATGCTTACTTACAACCCTTAACCAACAATGCAGTTTTAAGAAAGAATACCAAAACAAAATCACAAAAAAATACAATATAAAATAATACGAAATAAAATTAACAAATAACAATAGCGAGGCTATATACAGGGGGTACCGGTGCCGAGTCAATGTGCGGGGACACCGGTTAGTTGAGGTAATTGAGGTAATATGTACATGTAGGTAGTGTTATTAAAGTGACTATGCATAGATAATAAACAGAGAGTAGCAGCAGGGGGGGGGGGGCAATGCAAATAGTCTGGGTAGCCATTTGTGTCACGCCCTGGCTCTGGGGACTCTTAAATGTTGAGCCAGGCTGTGTAGTGTCTATGTTGTGTTTTCTATGTATTTCTTTCTAGATCGTTTATTTATATGTTGGCCAGGGTGGTTCCCAATCAGAGACAGCTGTGGCTCGTTGTCTCTGATTGGGAACCATACTTAGGCAGCCGGTTGGCACTAGTTTATTGTGGGATCTTGTTCCGTTAAGGTGTGTTGTTGTATGACCTAGGACTTCACGTATCGTTTTGTTGTTTTTGTTCGGGTGTGTGTACTTAATAAAATAATGTACGCTTATCACGCTGCGTCTTGGTCCGCTTCTTATAACGATCGTGACAATTTGATTAGATGTTCAGGAGTCTTATGGCTTGGGGATAGAAGCTGTTTAGAAGTGTCTTGGACCTAGACTTGGCGCTCCGGTACCACTTGCCGTGCGGTAGCAGAGAGAACAGTCTATGACTGGGGAGGCTGGAGTCATTGACAATTTTTACGGACTTCCTCTGACACCGCCTGGTATAGAGGTCCTGAATGGCAGGAAGCTTGGCCCCAGTGATGTACTGGGCCGTACGCACTACCCTCTGTAGTGCCTTGCGGATGGAGGCCGAGCAGTTGCCATACCAGGCAATGATGCAACCAGTCAGGATGCTCTCGATGGTGCAGCTGTAGAACCTTTTGACGAGCTGAGGACCCATGCCAAATCTTTTCAGTCTCCTTAGGGGGAATAGGTTTTGTCGTGCCCTCTTCACGACTGTCTTGGTGTGCTTGGACCATGTTAGTTTGTTGGTGATGTGGACACCAAGGAACTTGAAGCTCTCAACCTGCTCCACTACAGCCCTGTCGATGAGAATGGGGGCGTGCTCGGTCCTCTTCTTTTTCCTGTAGTCCACAATCATCTCCTTTGTCTTGATCACGTTGAGGGAGAGGTTGTTGTCCTGGCACCACATGGCCTGGTCTCTGACCTCCTCCCTATAGGCTGTCTCGTCGTTGTCGTGATCAGGCCTACCACTGTTGTGTCATCGGCAAACTTAATTATGGTGTTGGAGTTGTGCCTGGCCATGCAGTCATGAGTGAACAGAGAGTACAGGAAGGGACTGAGCACACACCCCTGAGGGGCCCCCGTGTTGCGGATCAGTGTGGCGGATGTGTTGTTACCTACCCTTACCACCTGGGGGCGGCCCTTCAGGAAGTCCAGGTTCCAGTTGCAGAGAGAGGTGTTTAGTCCCAGGGTCCTTAGCTTAGTGATGAGCTTTGAGGGCACTATGGTGTTGAACGCTGAGCTGTAGTCAATGAATAGCAATCTCACATAGGTGTTCCTTTTGTCCAGGTGTGAAAGGGCAGTGTTGAGCGCAATAGAGATTGAATCATCTGTGGATCTGTTGGGGCGGTATGCAAATTGGAGTGGGTCTAGGGTTTCTGGGATAATGGTGTTGATGTGAGCCATGACCAGCCTTTCAAAGCACTTCATGGCAACAGATGTGAGTGCTACGGGTCGGTAGTCATTTAGGCAGGTTACCTTAGTGTTCTTGGGCACAGGGACTATGGTGGTCTGCTTGAAACATGTTGGTATCACAGACTCAGACAGGGAGAGTTTGAAAATGTCAGTGAAGACACTTGCCAGTTGGTCAGCGCATGCTCGGAGTACACGTCCTGGTAATCCGTCTGGCCTTGCGGCCTTGTGAATGTTGACCTGTTTAAAGGTCTTACTCACATTGGCTACGGAGAGCGTGATCACACAGTCGTCCGGAACAGCTGATGCTCTCAAGTATGTTTCAGTGTGACTTGCCTCGAAAGGAGCATAGAAGTAATTTAGCTCGTCTGGTAGGCTCGTGTCACTGGGCAGCTCGTGGCTGTGATTCCCTTTGTAGTGTGTATTAGTTTGCAAGCCCTGCCACATCCGACGAGCGTCGGAGCCGGTGTAGTACGACTCGATCTTAGTCCTTTATTGACGCTTTGCCTGTTTGATGGTTCGTCGGAGGGCATAGCGGGATTTCTTATAAGCTTCCAGGTTAGAGTCCCGCTCCTTGAAGCGGCAGCTCTACCCTTTAGCTCAGTGCGGATGTTGCCTGTAATCAATGGCTTCTGGTTGGGGTATGTAAGTACAGTCACTGTGGGGACGACGTCATCAATTCACTTATTGATGAAGCCAGTGACTGATGGTGTACTCCTCAATGCCATCGGAAGAATCCCGGAACATATTCCAGTCTGTGCTAGCAAAACAGTCCTGTAGCTTAGCATCTGCTTCTTCTGACCACTTTGTTATTGACCGAGTCACTGGTGCTTCCTGCTTTTGCTTGTAAGCAGGAATCAGGAGGATAGAATTATGGTCAGATTTGCCAAATGGAGGGCAAGGGAGAGCTTTGTACGCATCTCTGTGTGTGGAGTAAAGGTGGTCTAGAGTTTTTTCCCTCATGCACATTTAACATGCTGGTAGAAATTAGTTAAAACAGATTTAAGTTTCCCTGCATTAAAGCCACTAGGAGCGCCGCCTCTGGATGAGCATTTTCCTGTTTGCTTATAATCATATACAGTTAATTGAGTGCGGTCTTAGCGCCAGCATCGGTTTGTGGTGGTAAATAGACAGATACGAAGAATATAGATGAAAACCCTCTTGGTAGATGGTGTGGTCTACAGCTTATCATGAGATACTCTACCTCAGGCGAGCATAACCTTGAGACTTCCTTAGATATCATGCACCAGCTGTTGTTTACAAATATACATAGACCGCCACCCCTTGTCTTACCAGAGGCTGCTGTTCTATCCTGCCGATACAGTGTATAACCCGCCAGCTGTATGTTATTCATGTCTTTGTTCAGCCACGACTCGTTGAAACATAAAATATTAAGTTTTTAATGTCCCATTGGTAGGATATTCTTTCCTGTAGTTCGTCAACTTTATTATCAAGCGATTGTAAATTGGCCAATAGTATCGATGGCAAAGGCAGATTAGCCACTCGTCGCCGGCTCCTTACCAAGCTCCCCAATCTCCTTCCGTGATATCTCCTTTTCTTTCTACTGCGAATGACGGGGATGAGGGCCCTGTCGGGTGTCTGGAGCAAATCCCTCTCGTCCGACACATTAAAGAAAAATCATTCATCCAGTTCAAGGTGAGTAATCGCTGTTCTGATGTCTAGAAGCTCTTTTTGGTCATAAGAGACGGTAGCAGCAACATTATGTACAAAATAAGTTTCAAACAATGCGAAAAAACACACAAAATAGCACGGTTGGTTAAGAGTCCATAAAACGGCAGCCATCCCCTCCGGCGCCAAATTTGGCATGTTTTTCTAGATTCAGAACATAAAACAACATTTATAAATCATACATTATCCCTTAGGTTTAGCACAACAAATACTTAAATAGGTTAAGCATAACAGTGAATAAAATATATTTTCAGAATATTGACCAAACAAATCGATTTTAAGAGGATTAGCCATCAGGTCAAGCCACTGACTGAGTTGACAAAAGATACTCAAAAGATATATATTTTTGTCTCTAAAAATGTTAATTAAATACAAACATTTGTAAAATATGGAAATTTCTTCACTCTGATGAAGTTGACATTAGACAAAAATCTGACGGAGTTTATGTTTTACGGAGTTGACAAAAATTGCCTTTTTCTTCTTCATTCAAGTGGTATACAAAGTAACAATTTAGTTTTTCCTCAGTTGCTTTATTACTCTAAATCCAAATTAAAATAAACATATTCAAACCTAAATTAATATTTTATCTTAATCTATCAGGAAGATGGAGTTCACAGTTTATGGTTGTGACTTCAATATTGTTTATTTAAATCTATCAAAAGTAGAGAACTTTACAGATCATGAGTGGTCTTGTACATGTAATTAGGACATGAAGAAGGGGTCCTTATGGAATAGCTGACCCTGCTCATTCCTGATTAATTTAGGATTTTAGACAAATCTGACAGAGTTGACCAAATCTCCTGACAAATTTTTTAGGAATCACAGTTTTGAGAGAAATCACAGAGTGCTATTTCAAGAAACTACATTAGATCCCCTTTCAGTTCATATTCATTATTGCCCATTTTTTGAATTTTAAACACTTTTTTGGAAAGTTTGAAATTGGGTTTCTTTGCTCTGGACAAATGCATTTCAGGGCATAGTGCTGACATGGAAATTAATAATATTGAAAATCCCAAAACTAACATTTTCCCTTACGTAGTTCCCCATGTAATTGTTAAGCTCAAATAATGCAACAAATCAAATTTCTTTACAATAAAAATAACGTTTCCCTGCCGTACAAGGATTGCCCCGACTTTCAAGAATCCCTGCATTATGTTTCATGGTGGGGTACACTAACGTTAAGAAAAGTTATAAGTAAGGTTTGTTATCACACACACAGACTCCTGCAGCACTACTTTTAGGACTTGAGTCTCAACCTGCTTAGAAGAGCTTTCATGCTGAGCTATCCTGTCTCCCGTCAGATTTTCTAAGAACAAAAGCAGATGTTTCCACTGTGAGATAGTTGAGAGATTATCATTCTCAGCCACCCTGCAGCTGCGTCGGTGTTTGGTACATTCATTTTTGGACAATTATATTAATAATGTATAGCTATTGATTGTTCAAGAATATGACTTATAAATGTCTCATAATAGTTCAGAATTTGAAAGTGGTTTCATTTCTCCAGTCTCATCGCTCAGCTGTTTACCAAAACAAGTGGTGGGGTGACCGCTTGGTTGTTTTTCAAATCCCGGCTTGCCCATTTAAGGCTAGGCACCACACCCTAATAGGTACATTTTTTCCTCTTATTCATATCACAATGAACTTTTACTAGTTGAATAAACACTCACTGGCCAGTTTATTAGGTACACCCATATAGTACCGCCTCAGAACCTCCTTTGCCTCCACAACAGCCTGCATTCTTTGGGGCATTGATTCTTCATGGTGTCGGAAACGTTCGTTGCTCAATTGGTACCTAATGTGTGCCAGGAAAACATTCACCACACCAGTACCCCACCGCCACCAACCTGTACCAGGCAGGATGGGTCCATGGACTCATGCTGCTTATGCCAAATCCTGACTCTGCCATCAGCATGACGCAACAGGAACCGGGATTCGTAGGACCAGTCAATGTTTTTCCAGTCTCCCCGCACCAAGCCAGTGGTGCGCGTCGCCAGCCCGGTCCGGCCCGTTCCTGCTCCCCGCACCAAGAAAGTGGTGCGCGTCGCCAGCCCGGCCCGGCCCGTTCCTGTTCCCCGCACCAGCCAGTGGTGCGCGTCGCCAGCCCGGCCCGGCCCGTTCCTGCTCCCCGCATTAAGCCAGTGGTGCGCGTCGCCAGCCCGGTCCGGCCCGTTCCTGCTCCCCGCACCAAGCCAGTGGTGCGCGTCGCCAGCCCGGTCCGGCCCGTTCCTGCTCCCCGCACCAAGCCAGTGGTGCACGTCGCCAGCCCGGTCCGGCCCTTTTCCTTCTCCCCGCACCAAGCCAGTGGTGCGCGTCGCCAGCCCGGTCCGGCCCGTTCCTGCTCCCCGCACCAAGCCAGTGGTGCGCGTCGCCAGCCCGGTCCGGCCCGTTCCTGCTCCCCGCACCAAGCCAGTGGTGCGCGTCGTCAGCCCGGTCCGGCCCGTTCCTGATCCCCACACCAGGCCAGTGGTGCGCGTCGTCAGTCCTGCACGGTCCGTGTCTGTTCCACCGGTGCCTGGTCCGGCACCGGTCAGCTGCTCCACACCGGAGCCAGAGCAATCCACTCCACCGATGTCCAGCTCCAGTCAGCGGGGCCAGACCAGACCAGGGGCGCAACGGGGAGGTGGAGAAAAGGTGGTGGTCACGCCCGGAGCCGGATCCGCCTCCGAGGCCTCTTGTGTTTGTGTTGCGCGGTCGCAGTCCGCGCCTTTGGGAGGGGGGTACTGTCACGCCCTGGCTCTGGGGACTCTTAAATTTTGAGCCAGGGTGTGTAGTGTCTATGTTGTGTTTTCTATGTGTTTCTTTCAAGATCGTTTATTTCTATGTTGGCCAGGGTGGTTCCCAATCAGAGACAGCTGTGGCTCGTTGTCTCTTATTGGGAACCATACTTAGGCAGCCGGTTGGCACTAGTTTATTGTGGGATCTTGTTCCGTTAAGGTGTGTTGTTGTATGACCTAGGACTTCACGTATCGTTTTGTTGTTTTTGTTCGGGTGTGTGTACTTAATAAAATAATGTACGCTTATCACGCTGCGCCTTGGTCCGCTTCTTATAACGATCGTGACAATTTGATTAGATGTTCAGGAGTCTTATGGCTTGGGGATAGAAGCTGTTTAGAAGTGTCTTGGACCTAGACTTGGCGCTCCGGTACCACTTGCCGTGCGGTAGCAGAGAGAACAGTCTATGACTGGGGAGGCTGGGGTCATTGACAATTTTTACGGACTTCCTCTGACACCGCCTGGTATAGAGGTCCTGAATGGCAGGAAGCTTGGCCCCAGTGATGTACTGGGCCGTACGCACTACCCTCTGTAGTGCCTTGCGGATGGAGGCCGAGCAGTTGCCATACCAGGCAGTGATGCAACCAGTCAGGATGCTCTCGATGGTGCAGCTGTAGAACCTTTTGACGAGCTGAGGACCCATGCCAAATCTTTTCAGTCTCCTTAGGGGGAATAGGTTTTGTCGTGCCCTCTTCACGACTGTCTTGGTGTGCTTGGACCATGTTAGTTTGTTGGTGATGTGGACACCAAGGAACTTGAAGCTCTCAACCTGCTCCACTACAGCCCTGTCGATGAGAATGGGGGCGTGCTCGGTCCTCTTCTTTTTCCTGTAGTCCACAATCATCTCCTTTGTCTTGATCACGTTGAGGGAGAGGTTGTTGTCCTGGCACCACATGGCCTGGTCTCTGACCTCCTCCCTATAGGCTGTCTCGTCGTTGTCGTGATCAGGCCTACCACTGTTGTGTCATCGGCAAACTTAATTATGGTGTTGGAGTTGTGCCTGGCCATGCAGTCATGAGTGAACAGAGAGTACAGGAAGGGACTGAGCACACACCCCTGAGGGGCCCCCGTGTTGCGGATCAGTGTGGCGGATGTGTTGTTACCTACCCTTACCATCTGGGAGCGGCCCGTCAGGAAGTCCAGGTTCCAGTTGCAGAGAGAGGTGTTTAGTCCCAGGGTCCTTAGCTTAGTGATGAGCTTTGAGGGCACTATGGTGTTGAACGCTGAGCTGTAGTCAATGAATAGCAATCTCACATAGGTGTTCCTTTTGTCCAGGTGTGAAAGGGCAGTGTTGAGCGCAATAGAGATTGAATCATCTGTGGATCTGTTGGGGCGGTATGCAAATTGGAGTGGGTCTAGGGTTTCTGGGATAATGGTGTTGATGTGAGCCATGACCAGCCTTTCAAAGCACTTCATGGCAACAGATGTGAGTGCTACGGGTCGGTAGTCATTTAGGCAGGTTACCTTAGTGTTCTTGGGCACAGGGACTATGGTGGTCTGCTTGAAACATGTTGGTATCACAGACTCAGACAGGGAGAGTTTGAAAATGTCAGTGAAGACACTTGCCAGTTGGTCAGCGCATGCTCGGAGTACACGTCCTGGTAATCCGTCTGGCCTTGCGGCCTTGTGAATGTTGACCTGTTTAAAGGTCTTACTCACATTGGCTACGGAGAGCGTGATCACACAGTCGTCCGGAACAGCTGATGCTCTCAAGTATGTTTCAGTGTGACTTGCCTCGAAAGGAGCATAGAAGTAATTTAGCTCGTCTGGTAGGCTCGTGTCACTGGGCAGCTCGTGGCTGTGATTCCCTTTGTAGTGTGTATTAGTTTGCAAGCCCTGCCACATCCGACGAGCGTCGGAGCCGGTGTAGTACGACTCGATCTTAGTCCTTTATTGACGCTTTGCCTGTTTGATGGTTCGTCGGAGGGCATAGCGGGATTTCTTATAAGCTTCCAGGTTAGTGTCCCGCTCCTTGAAGCGGCAGCTCTACCCTTTAGCTCAGTGCGGATGTTGCCTGTAATCAATGGCTTCTGGTTGGGGTATGTAAGTACAGTCACTGTGGGGACGACGTCATCAATTCACTTATTGATGAAGCCAGTGACTGATGGTGTACTCCTCAATGCCATCGGAAGAATCCCGGAACATATTCCAGTCTGTGCTAGCAAAACAGTCCTGTAGCTTAGCATCTGCTTCTTCTGACCACTTTGTTATTGACCGAGTCACTGGTGCTTCCTGCTTTTGCTTGTAAGCAGGAATCAGGAGGATAGAATTATGGTCAGATTTGCCAAATGGAGGGCAAGGGAGAGCTTTGTACGCATCTCTGTGTGTGGAGTAAAGGTGGTCTAGAGTTTTTTTCCCTCATGCACATTTAACATGCTGGTAGAAATTAGTTAAAACAGATTTAAGTTTCCCTGCATTAAAGCCACTAGGAGCGCCGCCTCTGGATGAGCATTTTCCTGTTTGCTTATAATCATATACAGTTAATTGAGTGCGGTCTTAGCGCCAGCATCGGTTTGTGGTGGTAAATAGACAGATACGAAGAATATAGATGAAAACCCTCTTGGTAGATGGTGTGGTCTACAGCTTATCATGAGATACTCTACCTCAGGCGAGCATAACCTTGAGACTTCCTTAGATATCATGCACCAGCTGTTGTTTACAAATATACATAGACCGCCACCCCTTGTCTTACCAGAGGCTGCTGTTCTATCCTGCCGATACAGTGTATAACCCGCCAGCTGTATGTTATTCATGTCTTTGTTCAGCCACGACTCGTTGAAACATAAAATATTAAGTTTTTAATGTCCCATTGGTAGGATATTCTTTCCTGTAGTTCGTCAACTTTATTATCAAGCGATTGTAAATTGGCCAATAGTATCGATGGCAAAGGCAGATTAGCCACTCGTCGCCGGCTCCTTACCAAGCTCCCCAATCTCCTTCCGTGATATCTCCTTTTCTTTCTACTGCGAATGACGGGGATGAGGGCCCTGTCGGGTGTCTGGAGCAAATCCCTCTCGTCCGACTCATTAAAGAAAAATTATTCATCCAGTTCAAGGTGAGTAATCGCTGTTCTGATGTCTAGAAGCTCTTTTTGGTCATAAGAGACGGTAGCAGCAACATTATGTACAAAATAAGTTTCAAACAATGCGAAAAAACACACAAAATAGCACGGTTGGTTAAGAGTCCATAAAACGGCAGCCATCCCCTCCGGCGCCAAATTTGGCATGTTTTTCTAGATTCAGAACATAAAACAACATTTATAAATCATACATTATCCCTTAGGTTTAGCACAACAAATACTTAAATAGGTTAAGCATAACAGTGAATAAAATATATTTTCAGAATATTGACCAAACAAATCGATTTTAAGAGGATTAGCCATCAGGTCAAGCCACTGACTGAGTTGACAAAAGATACTCAAAAGATATATATTTTTGTCTCTAAAAATGTTAATTAAATACAAACATTTGTAAAATATGGAAATTTCTTCACTCTGATGAAGTTGACATTAGACAAAAATCTGACGGAGTTTATGTTTTACGGAGTTGACAAAAATTGCCTTTTTCTTCTTCATTCAAGTGGTATACAAAGTAACAATTTAGTTTTTCCTCAGTTGCTTTATTACTCTAAATCCAAATTAAAATAAACATATTCAAACCTAAATTAATATTTTATCTTAATCTATCAGGAAGATGGAGTTCACAGTTTATGGTTGTGACTTCAATATTGTTTATTTAAATCTATCAAAAGTAGAGAACTTTACAGATCATGAGTGGTCTTGTACATGTAATTAGGACATGAAGAAGGGGTCCTTATGGAATAGCTGACCCTGCTCATTCCTGATTAATTTAGGATTTTAGACAAATCTGACAGAGTTGACCAAATCTCCTGACAAATTTTTTAGGAATCACAGTTTTGAGAGAAATCACAGAGTGCTATTTCAAGAAACTACATTAGATCCCCTTTCAGTTCATATTCATTATTGCCCATTTTTTGAATTTTAAACACTTTTTTGGAAAGTTTGAAATTGGGTTTCTTTGCTCTGGACAAATGCATTTCAGGGCATAGTGCTGACATGGAAATTAATAATATTGAAAATCCCAAAACTAACATTTTCCCTTACGTAGTTCCCCATGTAATTGTTAAGCTCAAATAATGCAACAAATCAAATTTCTTTACAATAAAAATAACGTTTCCCTGCCGTACAAGGATTGCCCCGACTTTCAAGAATCCCTGCATTATGTTTCATGGTGGGGTACACTAACGTTAAGAAAAGTTATAAGTAAGGTTTGTTATCACACACACAGACTCCTGCAGCACTACTTTTAGGACTTGAGTCTCAACCTGCTTAGAAGAGCTTTCATGCTGAGCTATCCTGTCTCCCCTCAGATTTTCTAAGAACAAAAGCAGATGTTTCCACTGTGAGATAGTTGAGAGATTATCATTCTCAGCCACCCTGCAGCTGCGTCGGTGTTTGGTACATTCATTTTTGGACAATTATATTAATAATGTATAGCTATTGATTGTTCAAGAATATGACTTATAAATGTCTCATAATAGTTCAGAATTTGAAAGTGGTTTCATTTCTCCAGTCTCATCGCTCAGCTGTTTACCAAAACAAGTGGTGGGGTGACCGCTTGGTTGTTTTTCAAATCCCGGCTTGCCCATTTAAGGCTAGGCACCACACCCTAATAGGTACATTTTTTCCTCTTATTCATATCACAATGAACTTTTACTAGTTGAATAAACACTCACTGGCCAGTTTATTAGGTACACCCATATAGTACCGCCTCAGAACCTCCTTTGCCTCCACAACAGCCTGCATTCTTTGGGGCATTGATTCTTCATGGTGTCGGAAACGTTCGTTGCTCAATTGGTACCTAATGTGTGCCAGGAAAACATTCACCACACCAGTACCCCACCGCCACCAACCTGTACCAGGCAGGATGGGTCCATGGACTCATGCTGCTTATGCCAAATCCTGACTCTGCCATCAGCATGACGCAACAGGAACCGGGATTCGTAGGACCAGTCAATGTTTTTCCAGTCTCCCCGCACCAAGCCAGTGGTGCGCGTCGCCAGCCCGGTCCGGCCCGTTCCTGCTCCCCGCACCAAGAAAGTGGTGCGCGTCGCCAGCCCGGCCCGGCCCGTTCCTGTTCCCCGCACCAGCCAGTGGTGCGCGTCGCCAGCCCGGCCCGGCCCGTTCCTGCTCCCCGCATTAAGCCAGTGGTGCGCGTCGCCAGCCCGGTCCGGCCCGTTCCTGCTCCCCGCACCAAGCCAGTGGTGCGCGTCGCCAGCCCGGTCCGGCCCGTTCCTGCTCCCCGCACCAAGCCAGTGGTGCACGTCGCCAGCCCGGTCCGGCCCTTTTCCTTCTCCCCGCACCAAGCCAGTGGTGCGCGTCGCCAGCCCGGTCCGGCCCGTTCCTGCTCCCCGCACCAAGCCAGTGGTGCGCGTCGCCAGCCCGGTCCGGCCCGTTCCTGCTCCCCGCACCAAGCCAGTGGTGCGCGTCGTCAGCCCGGTCCGGCCCGTTCCTGATCCCCACACCAGGCCAGTGGTGCGCGTCGTCAGTCCTGCACGGTCCGTGTCTGTTCCACCGGTGCCTGGTCCGGCACCGGTCAGCTGCTCCACACCGGAGCCAGAGCAATCCACTCCACCGATGTCCAGCTCCAGTCAGCGGGACCAGACCAGGGGCGCAACGGGGAGGTGGAGAAAAGGTGGTGGTCACGCCCGGAGCCGGATCCGCCTCCGAGGCCTCTTGTGTTTGTGTTGCGCGGTCGCAGTCCGCGCCTTTGGGAGGGGGGTACTGTCACGCCCTGGCTCTGGGGACTCTTAAATTTTGAGCCAGGGTGTGTAGTGTCTATGTTGTGTTTTCTATGTGTTTCTTTCAAGATCGTTTATTTCTATGTTGGCCAGGGTGGTTCCCAATCAGAGACAGCTGTGGCTCGTTGTCTCTTATTGGGAACCATACTTAGGCAGCCGGTTGGCACTAGTTTATTGTGGGATCTTGTTCCGTTAAGGTGTGTTGTTGTATGACCTAGGACTTCACGTATCGTTTTGTTGTTTTTGTTCGGGTGTGTGTACTTAATAAAATAATGTACGCTTATCACGCTGCGCCTTGGTCCGCTTCTTATAACGATCGTGACAATTTGATTAGATGTTCAGGAGTCTTATGGCTTGGGGATAGAAGCTGTTTAGAAGTGTCTTGGACCTAGACTTGGCGCTCCGGTACCACTTGCCGTGCGGTAGCAGAGAGAACAGTCTATGACTGGGGAGGCTGGGGTCATTGACAATTTTTACGGACTTCCTCTGACACCGCCTGGTATAGAGGTCCTGAATGGCAGGAAGCTTGGCCCCAGTGATGTACTGGGCCGTACGCACTACCCTCTGTAGTGCCTTGCGGATGGAGGCCGAGCAGTTGCCATACCAGGCAGTGATGCAACCAGTCAGGATGCTCTCGATGGTGCAGCTGTAGAACCTTTTGACGAGCTGAGGACCCATGCCAAATCTTTTCAGTCTCCTTAGGGGGAATAGGTTTTGTCGTGCCCTCTTCACGACTGTCTTGGTGTGCTTGGACCATGTTAGTTTGTTGGTGATGTGGACACCAAGGAACTTGAAGCTCTCAACCTGCTCCACTACAGCCCTGTCGATGAGAATGGGGGCGTGCTCGGTCCTCTTCTTTTTCCTGTAGTCCACAATCATCTCCTTTGTCTTGATCACGTTGAGGGAGAGGTTGTTGTCCTGGCACCACATGGCCTGGTCTCTGACCTCCTCCCTATAGGCTGTCTCGTCGTTGTCGTGATCAGGCCTACCACTGTTGTGTCATCGGCAAACTTAATTATGGTGTTGGAGTTGTGCCTGGCCATGCAGTCATGAGTGAACAGAGAGTACAGGAAGGGACTGAGCACACACCCCTGAGGGGCCCCCGTGTTGCGGATCAGTGTGGCGGATGTGTTGTTACCTACCCTTACCATCTGGGAGCGGCCCGTCAGGAAGTCCAGGTTCCAGTTGCAGAGAGAGGTGTTTAGTCCCAGGGTCCTTAGCTTAGTGATGAGCTTTGAGGGCACTATGGTGTTGAACGCTGAGCTGTAGTCAATGAATAGCAATCTCACATAGGTGTTCCTTTTGTCCAGGTGTGAAAGGGCAGTGTTGAGCGCAATAGAGATTGAATCATCTGTGGATCTGTTGGGGCGGTATGCAAATTGGAGTGGGTCTAGGGTTTCTGGGATAATGGTGTTGATGTGAGCCATGACCAGCCTTTCAAAGCACTTCATGGCAACAGATGTGAGTGCTACGGGTCGGTAGTCATTTAGGCAGGTTACCTTAGTGTTCTTGGGCACAGGGACTATGGTGGTCTGCTTGAAACATGTTGGTATCACAGACTCAGACAGGGAGAGTTTGAAAATGTCAGTGAAGACACTTGCCAGTTGGTCAGCGCATGCTCGGAGTACACGTCCTGGTAATCCGTCTGGCCTTGCGGCCTTGTGAATGTTGACCTGTTTAAAGGTCTTACTCACATTGGCTACGGAGAGCGTGATCACACAGTCGTCCGGAACAGCTGATGCTCTCAAGTATGTTTCAGTGTGACTTGCCTCGAAAGGAGCATAGAAGTAATTTAGCTCGTCTGGTAGGCTCGTGTCACTGGGCAGCTCGTGGCTGTGATTCCCTTTGTAGTGTGTATTAGTTTGCAAGCCCTGCCACATCCGACGAGCGTCGGAGCCGGTGTAGTACGACTCGATCTTAGTCCTTTATTGACGCTTTGCCTGTTTGATGGTTCGTCGGAGGGCATAGCGGGATTTCTTATAAGCTTCCAGGTTAGAGTCCCGCTCCTTGAAGCGGCAGCTCTACCCTTTAGCTCAGTGCGGATGTTGCCTGTAATCAATGGCTTCTGGTTGGGGTATGTAAGTACAGTCACTGTGGGGACGACGTCATCAATTCACTTATTGATGAAGCCAGTGACTGATGGTGTACTCCTCAATGCCATCGGAAGAATCCCGGAACATATTCCAGTCTGTGCTAGCAAAACAGTCCTGTAGCTTAGCATCTGCTTCTTCTGACCACTTTGTTATTGACCGAGTCACTGGTGCTTCCTGCTTTTGCTTGTAAGCAGGAATCAGGAGGATAGAATTATGGTCAGATTTGCCAAATGGAGGGCAAGGGAGAGCTTTGTACGCATCTCTGTGTGTGGAGTAAAGGTGGTCTAGAGTTTTTTCCCTCATGCACATTTAACATGCTGGTAGAAATTAGTTAAAACAGATTTAAGTTTCCCTGCATTAAAGCCACTAGGAGCGCCGCCTCTGGATGAGCATTTTCCTGTTTGCTTATAATCATATACAGTTAATTGAGTGCGGTCTTAGCGCCAGCATCGGTTTGTGGTGGTAAATAGACAGATACGAAGAATATAGATGAAAACCCTCTTGGTAGATGGTGTGGTCTACAGCTTATCATGAGATACTCTACCTCAGGCGAGCATAACCTTGAGACTTCCTTAGATATCATGCACCAGCTGTTGTTTACAAATATACATAGACCGCCACCCCTTGTCTTACCAGAGGCTGCTGTTCTATCCTGCCGATACAGTGTATAACCCGCCAGCTGTATGTTATTCATGTCTTTGTTCAGCCACGACTCGTTGAAACATAAAATATTAAGTTTTTAATGTCCCATTGGTAGGATATTCTTTCCTGTAGTTCGTCAACTTTATTATCAAGCGATTGTAAATTGGCCAATAGTATCGATGGCAAAGGCAGATTAGCCACTCGTCGCCGGTCCTTATGGAATAGCTGACCCTGCTCATTCCTGATTAATTTAGGATTTTAGACAAATCTGACAGAGTTGACCAAATCTCCTGACAAATTTTTTAGGAATCACAGTTTTGAGAGAAATCACAGAGTGCTATTTCAAGAAACTACATTAGATCCCCTTTCTGTTCATATTCATTATTGCCCGTTTTTTGAATTTTAAACACTTTTTTGGAAAGTTTGAAATTGGGTTTCTTTGCTCTGGACAAATGCATTTCAGGGCATAGTGCTGACATGGAAATTAATAATATTGAAAATCCCAAAACTAACATTTTCCCTTACGTAGTTCCCCATGTAATTGTTAAGCTCAAATAATGCAACAAATCAAATTTCTTTACAATAAAAATAACGTTTCCCTGCCGTACAAGGATTGCCCCGACTTTCAAGAATCCCTGCATTATGTTTCATGGTGGGGTACACTAACGTTAAGAAAAGTTATAAGTAAGGTTTGTTATCACACACACAGACTCCTGCAGCACTACTTTTAGGACTTGAGTCTCAACCTGCTTAGAAGAGCTTTCATGCTGAGCTATCCTGTCTCCCCTCAGATTTTCTAAGAACAAAAGCAGATGTTTCCACTGTGAGATAGTTGAGAGATTATCATTCTCAGCCACCCTGCAGCTGCGTCAGTGTTTGGTACATTCATTTTTGGACAATTATATTAATAATGTATAGCTATTGATTGTTCAAGAATATGACTTATAAATGTCTCATAATAGTTCAGAATTTGAAAGTGGTTTCATTTCTCCAGTCTCATCGCTCAGCTGTTTACCAAAACAAGTGGTGGGGTGACCGCTTGGTTGTTTTTCAAATCCCAGCTTGCCCATTTAAGGCTAGGCACCACACCCTAATAGGTACATTTTTTCCTCTTATTCATATCACAATGAACTTTTACAAGTTGAATAAACACTCACTGGCCAGTTTATTAGGTACACCCATATAGTACCGCCTCAGAACCTCCTTTGCCTCCACAACAGCCTGCATTCTTTGGGGCATTGATTCTTCATGGTGTCGGAAACGTTCGTTGCTCAATTGGTACCTAATGTGTGCCAGGAAAACATTCACCACACCAGTACCCCACCGCCACCAACCTGTACCAGGCAGGATGGGTCCATGGACTCATGCTGCTTATGCCAAATCCTGACTCTGCCATCAGCATGACGCAACAGGAACCGGGATTCGTAGGACCAGTCAATGTTTTTCCAGTCTTCAATTGTACAGTGTTGATGATTGCGTGCCCACTGGAGCCGATTCTTCTTGTTTTTAGCTGATAGGAGTGGAACCCGGTGTGGTCGTCTGCTACAATAGCTCATCCATGACAAGGATCGACGAGTTGTGCGTTCCGAGATGCCGTTTTGCACACCACTGTTGTACTGCGCCATTATTTGTTTGTTTGTGCCCGCCTGTTAGCTTATGTGATTCTTACCATTCTCATTCGACCTCTCTTTTCAACAAGCTGTTTACGCCCACAGGACTGCCACTGACTGGATGTTTTTTGTTTGTTACACCATTCTCAGTAAACCCTAGACACTGTCGTGCGTGAAAAGCTCAGGAGTGTGGCCGTTTCTGAGATACTGGATCTGGTGCCGACGATCATACCACGCTCAACGTCGCTTAGGTCACTCGTTTTGCCCGTTCTATCATTCCATCGAACAGTAACTGAATGCTTCGATGCCTGTCTACCTGCTTTATATAGCAAGCCATGGCCACGTGATTCACTATTTGTAGGAGTGATCCATTTTCCTAATACCAAATACCATTTTCATGTACCTAATAAACTGGCCGGTGAGTGCAGACACCAATATAATACTTTTTCGTATTGTAACTTTTCTGAAATATTGTTTAAAAATATGCAAATGAGGCAGTATGCAATTAAATATGTGCATATTTGCATATACTGCAAAAACTGTCAGCCTTAATATTTTGGTTTCGTTTTGTTAAGATACTCCAGGACCGGACTTGTACAGAGCAGATTGTGAATATATACTTTTTTTCATCTTTCTATCCGTAAAATCCTAAAGACATGTAAGTAAACTGCATTTTTGTGGCATATTTCTAAAGAAAATGTTACCTAGAATCAAAATTTGACAACATATCAACAATTCCCTCTATACAAGTCTGGAGAATACAGTGGGGAAAAAAATTATTTAGTCAGCCACCAATTGTGCAAGTTCTCCCACTTAAAAAGATGAGAGAGGCCTGTAATTTTCATCATAGGTACACGTCAACTATGACAGACAAATTGAGAAAAAAAATTCCAGAAAATCCCATTGTAGGATTTTTAATGAATTTATTTGCAAATTATGGTGGAAAATAAGTATTTGGTCACCTACAAACAAGCAAGATTTCTGGCTCTCACAGACCTGTAACTTCTTCTTTAAGAGGCTCCTCTGTCCTCCACTCGTTACCTGTATTAATGGCACCTGTTTGAACTTGTTATCAGTATAAAAGACACCTGTCCACAACCTCAAACAGTCACACTCCAAACTCCACAATGGCCTAGACCAAAGAGCTGTCAAAGGACACCAAAAACAAAATTGTAGACCTGCACCAGGCTGGGAAGCCTGAATCTGCAATAGGTAAGCAGCTTGGTTTGAAGAAATCAACTGTGGGAGCAATTATTAGGAAATGGAAGACATACAAGACCACTGATAATCTCCTTCGATCTGGGGCTCCACGCAAGATCTCACCCCGTGGGGTCAAAATGATCACAAGAACGGTGAGCAAAAATCCCAGAACCACACGGGGGGACCTAGTGAATGACCTGCAGAGAGCTGGGACCAAAGTAACAAAGCCTACCATCAGTAACACACTACGCCGCCAGGGACCCAAATCCTGCAGTGCCAGACGTGTCCCCCTGCTTAAGCCAGTACATGTCCAGGCCCGTCTGAAGTGCATTTGGATGATCCAGAAGAGGATTGGGAGAATGTCATATGGTCAGATGAAATCAAAATATAACTTTTTGGTAAAAACTCAACTTGTCATGTTTGGAGGACAAAGAATGCTGAGTTGCATCCAAAGAACACCATACCTACTGTGAAGCATGGGGGTGGAAACATCATGCTTTGGGGCTGTTTTTCTGCAAATGGACCAGGACGACTGATCCGTGTAAAGGAAAGAATGAATGGGGCCATGTATCGTGAGATTTTGAGTGAAAACCTCCTTCCATCAGCAAGGGCATTGAAGATGAAACGTGGCTGGGTCTTTCAGCATGACAATGATCCCAAACACACCGCCCGGGCAACGAAGGAGTGGCTTCGTAAGAAGCATTTCAAGGTCCTGGAGTGGCCTAGCCAGTCTCCAGATCTCAACCCCATAGAAAATCTTTGGAGGGAGTTGAAAGTCTGTGTTGCCCAGCGACAGCCCCAAAACATCACTGCTCTAGAGGAGATCTGCATGGAGGAATGGGCCAAAATACCAGCAACAGTGTGTGAAAACCTTGTGAAGACTTACAGAAAACATTTGACCTGTGTCATTGCCAACAAAGGGTATATAACAAAGTATTGAGAAACTTTTGTTATTGACCAAATACTTATTTTCCACCATCATTTGCCAATAAATTCATTAAAAATCCTACAATGTGATTTTCTGGATTTTTTTTTCTATTTTTGTCTCTCATAGTTGACGTGTACCTATGATGAAAATTACAGGCCTCTCTCATCTTTTTAAGTGGGAGAACTTGCACAATTGGTGGCTGACTAAATACTTTTTTTCCCCACTGTATATCTAAGGATAACCACACTAAATTAGTGAATGTAGATGCTTCTGAAGCTGAGAAAAATGTGTTGCCGAGTGGGAAGAGTCTGACTTTCGGGAAATGGCAGTTAAAGACAAGTACACTGCATTTAGCACACCAATCGCCTATTTAGACCCAATCACGATCTCTTCAAAGTAAGTTTCTACATATAGTCCAGTTTGTAACATTCTCTATGAAATGGGCTTTTAATTGGTGTATGATTACATGTAGTGGGCTTTGAAATGACTGATTTATGCCCATTTGAATATGGTTAAAATTCATGAAATCTTTATGCCGGTAGTATGATAAACTAAAGAAAATATACATTTACATCAAGTTTTTAAAATGTTTATGTTAACTTTTTGAAAGTACTAATATTAAAAGACCAAAATACCCCCAAATATCAAAATTGATAAGTACATGCAAAAATGTAATTTCAGCCTGTGGTGCCTTGCTTAATGAAGACATGCTGTCTGTCTATATGTGCGTGCGTGTGTGTGTGTGTGTGCACGTGCATGCGTGTGTGTGTGACTGTCTTCCCCCCAAGGCTTTAATTATTCTGTCTGTGCCACTGTAGATACGCTGGCTACTTCCTTCCTAAAAGCTACCACAGTCGTGACTGTCGCTATGGGGACCATGTTGTCATCCACTACCACAGTTCACCCGGAGGTGTCTGACTGTCTCTCCATGGTCCCATTGTCCGGTTGTAACTAGTTCTGTTCTCATGTGGATGGTTCCCTGTTAATATGTAATTCCTATCGCAGCATGGAATGGTGAAAATAAATGAATCTGTTCTCATAAATGTATGGAAACTCACCTAGCTTATTTGTACTGTTTGTACAGCAGCTCAGAAAGTAGAAACAACTCACACGAAAAGACATCCTCTGTAAATGAAAAAGTGATATGTTCGGCATGTCTCCACTATCTCTGTCCCCTCCCATCACTTTAGTAGGTCAGATCACGTAGTTTGGTGGAACCTCTTGACCTGTCTAGTTTAGAAATATATCATGAATAAATATTTATGACAGGATGGATTAAAATCAGACTGTGGGTCTATGTAGTTAGTGGTGGGAACTATAGAAACCAACTGGGAAGTAGGTTGGAAGTAGAAATCAACTCAGTGGCACTATAGTTAGTCTCTCACCTGAGATGGGAAAGTTGGGGTCTTGAGTCCTGGTCGAGTCATGGACAACCAAAGGCTCTAAAATTTGGACATGATACCTCTCTGCTTGTCACTCAGCATTAAGGAGATAGATTGGAGGTAAGGCCCTGCGATAGACTAGTGTCCAGTGGGTGGACTTGTACATCAAGCTGCCTCATAATAATTTATTGAACTTTTATAGAGGCTTTCATTACTTAAAGAATTTCAAAGAGCTTTTAAGTGGGAAAAAATACATGCCATTTTTAAAAAGGAAACAAGAAACAGGAACATGCCTTATGGGCCATGCTGGCTCAGACAAGGCTTAGTTGTCTGAGCCTAGAATAACTTCTCAATGGCTTAATCTTTCTGTAACAGTTTTAGGTTTCTGACTACCAGTTTTGGATTTCCTTTCATGTACATCAATGCCTCTAGGGTTTTTCCAAGCTCACCAAGTCACTCTGAGAGATCCATGTCCATGTCTCCATAGTGGTGTGTTCTACAGCGTAAGACAACACAGTTTCCCACCCTTACTTTAGATGTACCCGCAAGCTTTTTTCCCCCACAATGTATGGACTTCGCCACTGGGTGCCGCCCTATCCCCATGCATTTAGCCAGCTCAGTGGACTGAGATTTCTACCTGTCCAATATGGGGACTGAATGGGCTCCTGAATTTATTCAAGTTCACCAGGGAGAGGCTGCAAAGGTTAACAAAGGGAGATTCTCAATTGGGGAAAAAGTCAGCCCTCTCCTCGACTCCTCCGTTCTCCTCTCCTCTGTGACCCGGAAACCGATGAGTGTTAGAGTGATTGAGGAGTGTCAACTCGTTAGTAGGCGAATGAAGGAGTCTATTCCCCTTTGAATCAGCTCTTGTTTTCTCAAAGGAGAAAAGCATACACACATTTAAAAACAATAAGCTACTTATCCTTTTATCTATAAAATGTCTTGCACAACTAGTTTAATTCAGGGAGGTTTTCTTAACTTTTAGACATTTATTTTGGGATTCCACCCCTGTAAACGTCATTTGCCTGATGATGCACGAGTGGAGAAGGAGCATCTCATTTCATACAAGCGTATTTGTTTCCATGTTTCCTCTCTTCTGCTCCTCGATTATCTTTGACCTTTTTAAAAAAAGAGGTGAGGCGAGGAAGGCGGGAGGAGAAGAGGAGGCGAGCAAAACCAATTGAGATTCTCCTAAAGACTCTGTTATGTGTCCCTATAGTATTGTATTGTGTCTCTCTGGTGACACATAATATTATAAATATATAATATCTTTATGAGGGAACATGCATGACTGAACCTTTCCAATGTATGAATAGATCATTTGATTTAGATACACTATATATACAAAAGTATGTGGACACCCCTTCAAATTAGTGGATTCGGCTATTTCAGCCACGCCTGTTGCTGACATGTGTATAAAAATGAGCACACAGCCATGCAATCTACATAGACAAACATTGGCAGTAGAATGGCCCATACTGAAGAGCTCAGTGACTTTCAACGTGGCACCGTCATAGGATGCCACCTTTCCAACAAGTCAGTTCGTCAAAGTTCTGCCCTGCTAGAGCTGCCCTGGTCAACTGTAAGTGCTGTTATTATGAAGTGGAAAGGTCTAGGAGCAACACCGGCTCAGTTGCAAAGTGGTAGGCTACACAAGCTCACAGAACGGGACCGCCGAGTGCTGAAGGGCGTATTGCGCAAAAATCGTCTGTCCTCAGTTGCAACACTCACTATGGAGTTCCAAATTGCCTCTGGAAGCAATATCAGCACAATAACTGTTTGTCTGGAGCTACATGAAATGGGTTTCCATGGCCGAGTAGCTGCACATAAGCCTAAGACCACCATACGCAATGCCAAGCGTCGACTGGAGTGGTGTAAAGCTCGCTGCCATTGGACTCTGGAGCAGTGGAAACGCGTTCTCTGGAGTGATTAATCATGCTTTACCATCTGGCAGTCCGATGGCCGCTTAACGCTACAGCATACAATGTCATTCTAGACGATTCTGTGCTTCCAACTTTTTGGCAACAGTTTGGGGAAGGCCCTTTCCTGTTTCAGCATGACAATGCCCCCGCGATACAAAGCGAGGACCATACAGAAATGATTTGTCGAGATCGGTGTGAAAGAACTTGACTGGCCTGCACAGGGCCCTGACCTCAACCCCATCGAACACCTTTGGGATGAGTTGGAATGCCAACTGTGAGCCAGGCCTAATCACCCAACATCAGTGCCTGACCTCACTAATTCTCTTGTGGCTGAATGGAAGTCCCCGCAGCAATGTTCCAACATCTAGTGGAAAGCCTTCCCAGAAGAGTGGAGGCTGTTATAGCAGCAAAGAGGGGACCAACTCCATATTAATGCCCATGATTTTGGAATGAGATGTTCGAGGATCACCTGCGTTAAAGACGTTTTTAACCTCAAAGGTATTTCCTGGTTAAAATGAAGGTCTGTAGAGTACGCAACTAGAGGTGGGTATGAGTTTATCTCCATAGAATGAATTAATAATTAGTGCACTGTGTTTCCAAACACTATGACTGTATACACCTTGAGGTTGTTATTATTAGTTTACAGTTGAATAGCGAATTTGCTTTTTAAAATGACAAACATTACACCCATGGTGTAATAGCTATTTAGTTATTACAAAAATGTAATACATTATGGAGAGGTAAGAGGCACAATGAGTTAAAGGGGCAATCCGGAATTAGTACATTCATTTGTTTACTTTGAATTGTTGAATAATATAATGTATAAATGCCTCCTGGGCTTAGTTGAACTGTTTTACTTTGAATCCCAGATTGCCGTTTTTAAAAACTAAGAGTGGGAGGCTGGGAACAGGAACTAAAATCATCTCTGCATCGCTTTTTGATGGATTCCATTTCCTCGCTCCGGTGTCACGCGTCAAGCATCTCGAGAAATGACGAGTGGCTTCCTTCTGTTTCTCTGTCGGGCCGTGGGAGGCGACAGGAGTGGGGACGGGCTGCCAGAATCCATCTTCCTCCCTCTTTACACCCCCCTCCCTCCGTCCCGCTCCATTCCCCAACCCTCCACTTCAAACTTCTCATACACTTCAGTGTCGACAACAACAGTGACAAGTGGGAAATGGAGATGGAACCATTTTATGAGTGGGAGTAGAAATGATCATAACTCCTTCCGTTTGGGGAGTACAGGCACGCATGCACACACACAGGTTTGTGTTTGTCTTTGTCTGTCCTATTACATGACTGTGTGCATGAACATCTATGTGTACACGTGTGACTTCTTGTGTGTGTACATGCTTGTGTGATTTGGTTGAGCATCTGTGAATGCGTTTTGAGTGTGTTCCTGTGTGAACATGTGAGTGCGTGTGTGCATACGTGCCTGTGTACGTGCGTGCGTGCATGCGTGCGTATATATGTTTGTGTGTATGCACATTCATTTGTGTGTGTGTGTGTGTGTATGTTCGTGCATGCGCGCATGTGTGTGCGTGCATGTGCATTTGTCTGTGTGTGTATCTGTGCACTCTTCCAACTCATCCATCCAGCTCAGGATCCATCATCTCTGGCTGCCTTGCAGTGCGTGGTGCTGATCTGCGTTGCAGCCCTGGCGAACAGATGTCAGGGACTACTGATAATGTCCCTCCGCAGAGCAGCAACAAATTACGGACCAGCGCTACGGAAAATAACCTTCAGATTACAGATGGCCTGTATCACGGGCCCTGGTCGGATTTACAAGATGTAAATACTATAGGGAGAGGTAATCCAGTGGGGGAGTAAGGGGGCGAGAGAGAAGGAGGGAGGGCTAACAGCTGGCAGGGGAGACAGGGCGGAGGGGGGTTGGGGTGCGAGGTGAGACTGCACTGATACACTGATGTTGGGATGATGATGGTGTGTGTTTGATGTGCTCCAGAGGAAAGCTGAAATGAAACAGGGCATCAATGAAACAGATCATCGTTACATGATGTGGGTGCACTGGATACGTATCCCCTGGGGCTAAACTATAGTGATACAGAGGCATGGGGATAGAATGGAGATGTTTTTGGGGCCAGGGACAGGGTGTGAAGGAGGTCCTATACTTACATATTCCCTTTCCTCTTCGCACTCTGTGTGAAGCTGTACATGTCCCACATACAGTATGGCACAACCTCTAGTGTGGTAAGAGCAGGGATGATTTAATGTTTTACAGTAAGGAAAATTACAGTATTAAACTGGCAACTCCCCTCCATGTCTCCGACCACTACTTTGTATCCTTTTCTCTCTCGCTCTCCTCCAACACTACTCACTCTGCCCCTACTCAGATGGTAAGCGCCGTCGCAACCTTCGCTCTCTCTCTCCCGCTACTCTCTCCTCTTCCATCCTATCATCTCTTCCCTCTGCTCAATCCTTCTCCCTCCAATCTCCAGATTCTGCCTCCTCAACCCTCCTCTCCTCCCTTTCTGCATCCTTTGACTCTCTATGTCCCCTATCTTCCCGGCCGGCTCGGTCCTCCCCTCCTGCTCCGTGGCTTGACGACTCATTGCGAGCTCACAGAACAGGGCTCCGGGCAGCCGAGCGGAAATGGAGGAAAACTAGACTCCCTGCGGACCTGGCATCTTTTCACTCCCTCCTCTCTACATTTTCTTCATCTGTTTCTGCTGCTAAAGCCACTTTCTACCACTCTAAATTCCAAGCATCTGCCTCTAACCCTATGAAGCTCTTTGCCACCTTCTCCTCCCTGCTGAATCCTCCTCCTCCTCCCCCTCCCCCCCTCCTCCCTCTCTGTGGATGACTTCGTCAACCATTTTGAAAAGAAGGTTGACGACATCCGATCCTCGTTTGTTAAGTCAAATGACACTGCTGGTCCTGCTCACACTGCCCTACCCTATGCTTTGACTTCTTTCTCCCCTCTCTCTCCAGATGAAATCTTGCGACTTGTGACGGCCGGCCGCCCAACAACCTGCCCGCTTGACCCTATCCCCTCCTCTCTTCTCCAGACCATCTCCGGTGACCTTCTCCCGTACCTCACCTCGCTCATCAACTCATCCTTGACTGCTGGCTATGTCCCTTCTCAAAAAACTACAGACCAGTATCCTTCTTTCTTTTCTCTCCAAAACTCTTGAGCGTGCCGTCTTCAGCCAACTCTCTTGCTATCTCTCTCAGAATGACCTTCTTGATCCAAACCAGTCAGGTTTCAAGACTGGTCATTCAACTGAGACTGCTCTTCTCTGTGTCACGGAGGCTCTCCGCACTGCTAAAGCTAACTCGCTCTCCTCTGCTTTTGCCTTCTAGACCTGTCTGCTGCCTTTGATACTGTGAAACATCAGATCCTCCTCTCCACCCTCTCCGAGTTGGGCATCTCTGGCGCGGCTCACTCTTGGATTGCGTCCTACCTGACAGGTCGCACCTACCAAGTGGCGTGGCGAGAATCTGTCTCCGCACCACGTGCTCTCACCACTGGTGTCCCCCAGGGCTCAGTTCTAGGCCCTCTCCTATTCTCGCTATACACCAAGTCACTTGGCTCTGTCATATCCTCACATGGCCTCTCCTATCATTGCTACGCAGACAACATACAACTAATCTTCTCCTTTCCCCCTTCTGATAACCAGGTGGCGAATCGCATCTCTGCATGTCTGGCAGACATATCAGTGTGGATGACGGATCACCACCTCAAGCTGAACCTCGGCTAGACGGAGCTGCTCTTCCTCCTGGGGAAGGACTGCCCGTTCCATGATCTTGCCATCACGGTTGACAACTCTGTTGTGTCCTCCTCCCAGAGTGCGAAGAGCCTTGGCGTGACCCTGGACAACACCCTGTCGTTCTCCGCTAACATCAAGGCGGTGACCCGATCCTGTAGGTTCATGCTCTACAACATTCGGAGAGTACGACCCTGCCTTACACAGGAAGCGGCACAGGTCCTAATCCAGGCACTTGTCATCTCCCGTCTGGATTACTGCAACTCACTGTTGGCTGGGCTCCCTGCCTGTGCCATTAAACCCCTACAACTCATCCAGAATGCCGCAGCCCGTCTGGTGTTCAACCTTCCCAAGTTCTCTCACGTCACCCCGCTCCTCCGCACACTCCACTGGCTTCCAATTGAAGCTCGCATCTGCTACAAGACCATGGTGCTTGCCTATGGAGCTGTGAGGGGAACGGCACCTCTGTACCTTCAGGCTCTGATCAGTCCCTACACCCAAACGAGGGCATTGCGTTCATCCAACTCTGGCCTGCTGGCCCCACTACCTCTGCGGAAGCACAGTTCCCGCTCAGCCCAGTCAAAACTGTTCGCTGCTCTGGCACCCCAATGGTGGAACAAGCTCCCTCACGACGCCAGGAGAGCGGAGTCACTCACCACCTTCCGGAGACACTTGAAACCCCACCTCTTTAAGGAATACCTGGGATAGGATAAAGTAATCCTTCTACCCCCCCTTACCCAACCCCCCACAAAAAATAAATTATATATATATATATATATATATATATATATATATATATATATATATATATATATATATATATATATTGTAAAGTGGTTATCCCACTGGCTATAAGGTGAATGCACCAATTTGTAAGTCGCTCTGGATAAGAGCATCTGCTAAATGACGGTATTGTAAATGTAAATGTAACAGGATAATGCTGTAAATTTACAGTGAAATTCTCCCCTCAGATAAACAATACATTTGTACATAAAATACATTTATTGAAATTGATAACAACATTAACACATTAATAACAGAATTGACAATAGAAGTAACAACAGTTAACACATACAGTGGGGAAAAAAAGTATTTAGTCAGCCACCAATTGTGCAAGTTCTCCCACTTAAAAAGATGAGAGATGCCTGTAATTTTCATCATAGGTACACGTCAACTATGACAGACAAATTGAGGAAAAAAAATAAAGAAAATCACATTGTAGGATTGTTAATTAATTTATTTGCAAATTATGGTGGAAAATAAGTATTTGGTCACCTACAAACAAGCAAGATTTCTGGCTCTCACAGACCTGTAACTTCTTCTTTAAGAGGCTCCTCTGTCCTCCACTCGTTACCTGTATTAATGGCACCTGTTTGAACTTATTATCAGTATAAAAGACACCTGTCCACAACCTCAAACAGTCACACTCCAAACTCCACTATGGCCAAGACCAAAGAGCTGTCAAAGGACACCAGAAACAAAATTGTAGACCTGCACCAGGCTGGGAAGACTGAATCTGCAATAGGTAAGCAGCTTGGTTTGAAAAAATCAACTGTGGGAGCAATTATTAGAAAATGGAAGACATACAAGACCACTGATAATCTCCCTCGATCTGGGGCTCCACGCAAGATCTCACCCCGTGGGGTCAAAATGATCACAAGAACGGTGAGCAAAAATCCCAGAACCACACGGGGGGACCTAGTGAATGACCTGCAGAGAGCTGGGACCAAAGTAACAAAGCCTACCATCAGTAACACACTACGCCGCCAGGGACTCAAATCCTGCAGTGCCAGACGTGTCCCCCTGCTTAAGCCAGTACATGTCAAGGCCCGTCTGAAGTTTGCTAGAGTGCATTTGGATGATCCAGAAGAGGATTGGGAGAATGTCATATGGTCAGATGAAACCAAAATATAACTTTTTGGTAAAAAACTCAACTCGTCGTGTTTGGAGGACAAAGAATGCTGAGTTGCATCCAAAGAACACCATACCTACTGTGAAGCATGGGGGTGGAAACATCATGCTTTGGGGCTATTTTTCTGCAAAGGGACCAGGACGACTGATCCATGTAAAGGAAAGAATGAATGGGGCCATGTATCGTGAGATTTTGAGTGAAAACCTCCTTCCATCAGCAAGGGCATTGAAGATGAAACGTGGCTGGGTCTTTCAGCATGACAATGATCCCAAACACACTGCCCGGGCAACGAAGGAGTGGCTTCGTAAGAAGCATTTCAAGGTCCTGGAGTGGCCTAGCCAGTCTCCAGATCTCAACCCCATAGAAAATCTTTGGAGGGAGTTGAAAGTCGGTGTTGCCCAGCAACAGCCCCAAAACATCACTGCTCTAGAGGAGATCTGCATGGAGGAATGGGCCAAAATACCAGCAACAGTGTGTGAAAACCTTGTGAAGACTTACAGAAAACGTTTGACCTGTGTCATTGCCAACAAAGGGTATATAACAAAGTATTGAGAAACTTTTGTTATTGACCAAATACTTATTTTCCACCATAATTAGCAAATAAATTCATTACAAATCCTACAATGTGATTTTCTGGATTTTATTTTCTCATTTTGTCTGTCATAGTTGACGTGTACCTATGATGAAAATTACAGGCCTCTCTCATCTTTTTAAGTGGGAAAACTTGCACAATTGGTGGCTGACTAAATACTTTTTTTCCCCACTGTATGTAACCAAATAAGAGCATCATTACAACACTAATTATATTGTGTGTGTGGATGCAGGGGAGAGAGAGACAAAGAGAGAGGAGATGGCGTTAAAATTGGGATTGGGTACAATCCTAGCTCTATGATCAGGTGCAAATCTATTCGGGATAACAGGGTTCAGAGGTGGTGAAACACACAACGGGACAGTTTGGGCAGGAGAGCATCCAGGAGAGAGAAGTCAGCGCAGCATCAGTTGTTCCTCATGGGGCTCTGTAACAATCCTCCTCAGTTCTGATTTGTCAGCTCTTCTCACCCCTATGACAAGCATAGAAAAATAAATAATAGAATGAGAGACAGATGGCACCAGGGCTGGTACTCTGTGGGTAAGAAGATACGTGACAAAGGATATATCAAGCTGGTGTCGTGTGTGTGTGTGTGTACTTACCTCACTAGAGGTCTTCATTCAAACTCAGTGAGCTCTTGGAAGAAGGGGGCAATGTAGGGGTTGAGAACAGCTGGCTTCCTCTGGGCCACCTTTGTCCCATCTTTAGGGTTCATCATCTTGGGTTGATTCGAACCAGGAATCTGTACAGCCATAGATCCAATATACACTCAACAAAAATATAAATGCAATAAGTAAAGTGTTGGTCCCAAGTTTCATGAACAT